AATTCAAATTAGTTTGAAAGTGAGATATTATAAGAAACACAAAACGATGTCATATTTATTAATCGAAAATACTCAATTTACATTTATTACGTCAGAAATTAAATTTGAATGAATATCATAAACAAAATCCAAAAATCGCGAGTGACATCTAGTATGATTTCAAGAACTAATTTTTATTTTTTAAATACTTCCTCATTAATCATCAACACACTCTTTGTGGGATCATACCAGAGACCATGGCCATCCGTATAGGTTTTATACACGTGCAACAGTCTGCGCATAGCACCAATAGGCTTGTGTCCTACAAGTGAAAATACAGGTTTTTGTTATATCTTCGAAAAATATGAACCATTTTAACTTATAAATGTTTAACAAAAGAAACTTTAAGTCACTGATTTGGAAAATATTACGCTTTGAAAACTTGAAAAAAGTAGAGAAAATCTACTACAAAAATTTGCTAAAATACATAAGGCATTAAATTAGATATAAAAAATGTTACAACTTTCATTATAACAGCTATAAACATAAACGCACAAATAACAAAGACATTACAAAAATTGTCCAGACGCCCATAAATTTTTCGCTACTGTAGCACCGTGTGACGTCACTGAGTGCCTTGAATTTGTAGGGAGCGTTTTCGGCCAACTAGCAGCAGTTCTACAAACACAGCACCGTATCTCCGAAACTATTAATCGCAGACATGCTGTTACTTCGACATTATTTCTCAGATGTTAATGGACTATTTATTTATGAAATAAAAAAAAGTTGTCAACTAGCCTATTGATGGGCTCAGCAACAACATATCATCGGCATAACTCAGATTATTTACACAAATACCATCTATGTGACAGCCGATGCCAGTTCCACTGAGCCCCCCGATCAGCTCGTTGATGTATAAGTTGAAGAGCTTTGGAGAGGTTAAACGCCCCCGCCTCACCCCACACTCCAATCCGTACACGTCCGAATCTCCTGCCCATCGTACACTGTTGCTCTGATTCCTATACCAATACATAATTATTGAACACAGTTCAGGTGGTAAAGTTGTTTCTCTTTGCAGTTTTCTCAACAGAATATTACGTATATACGAGACCAGGTCGAAGGCCTTCGACAGGTCCAAAAATAGACCGGCGGGCGTCTTCCTACGGTTTTCTTGAGACAAAATATCGCATTCTCAGCTGAAAAACCCGGCTCGAAACCGAATTGCGCATCATATATATGAAGATGTTTGCTTAGGTGCTTATTAAGTAAGACAATTCCGACGCGTCACCGCTATTTTTAGAAACTGGCACTACAACTGTGTATTTGAGACAATCAGCAAGGAAACTATAACTTTACACATAAGTTAAAAAACATGGCAAATACTCGTGGCTAATGTACACCGGCGTATTTGAGATGGACAATAAATATACCCATAAATTTAATAAAAACCAATTAAACTTTAATTTTGATTGATTTATAGTATATGTTAGGAATCCCTAAAAAAGGAAAATCTGAAAAGCTTCGCGCTCGCGCCGGTCCGAAATGGTCCGAGATACCATACGTGAGCGTTGTCTATGCGTGCGTTGCTGCAGCGCACTTTATATGAATATTGTATTCTGTTAGGGGCCACAGGTCCTGCCCAATAGAATGAACCAAATAAGCAAAATATTATAACCTTACGAAAACAAAACATACGATATATAATATTTTATTGAATTTTAATGAATAATATATTTTGATATTTATATTAATTAAAGCAATTACGTTACCAGTTAAACGGGTTCAGAAAAATCGTTTCGAAACGTGGGTATAGTCTCTCTCGAATCTTGTTTACCTAGAAAAAAAAAATTAGATGAACATGTGCAACTGTAGATAATTTCTAATAGTAAATCGTAAAAGATATTTTGAGTCAAACACTTATTATAATTAGTAAGTTGTAAGGACAATATGTATTATTATTTAAATATGTTTTAAGTTATAATTATGAACAATACTATTCTATACGTACTCATTTGAATAATTCACGACGCTTTAAAAATCCACTTTGTCCCATCTCCGAGTGCCAGGGAAATAGATGTTGCTAAGCACATCAACCCCCATACTCTCGAACGCAATCACAACCGATCGGCATTACAATTGTGCCGTTTCCTACTCTTGATTGGATACACCAGCGCCAGTGGTTTTTTTATATCATTTTTCATTTAAAATATCCTTTTCGTATATTAAAATGATCAGTAAAAACCATTTTTTTTACAAGAAACAATTGTTAAATAATAATTGCAATTTGCTTGTTTTCTTTAATGAATCAGCGTCCTCGGTTACTATAAAGCAAACACTTGCATGTCACACGACACGGTAAAACAAAGCAACCGTAAATATAAATAACCGTAATCGTAGTCGTGGGAAAAATCTATTTATAGTGTCGTGATCGGCTACTATGAAAATGCCCACATCAATATCTGTTTTAAATATGTACCAGCTTTTAACCAACTTCGATAAAAAAAAGGAAGTTCTCAAGTCTCAAGTATTTTTTGTGTATGTTACATGCGGTAGCATACATAAAAAATACGGTATTTATAGTCCTCGCTATAATACGAATAATACCAAAATAGTATACACAATTGTAACTGCTCCACACTGTGCTTTGTACCGTGATCTGCACCGCGCTCTCTCTACACTGTAAACTACACTGCACCATGCTAATGAAATATTTCAAATATCAGATAAGATATCACAATTGAACATCTTACCTCCAGAAAGACAATTTTAGCGATCTAATAAAAAAAATTCTAAGCTAAGAGACTATTTATTATATTTAAACAATTTTGCACCTATATTGCTATACCGATAGACATTTTTATTCTTTTACAAAAAAATACTTTTATTCACCGCCAAGTCGCCGAGTAAAAAAAAAGTTTACCACCAAGCTCGATAGATGAACTCGATAGATAACTAAAAAGTGTAAAATAAAAGTAAATAATTTAAAGAAAAACAAAAAACTCGACTACGTCAAAACGAATTTAAAAAATTACATAAAAAAAAACTTAAATAAAAACTAAAACAAAGAAACAAAAATAACTACACAATTGAAATAGTTTTATAATCGATACACACATAAAACAAATCATAAATTCTAATGCAGAACAGAACGACTCACAGTCGGTGCCCATTAAAATTTTACAAATCAATTTTCCCAAGGGGCCCCGTTTTTATATTTTTTAGCCATTTTCATTTCAAGTAATAGACTATTTTTATTAGGTACTGTGCATAATGTTGAGAACACTGGGTTGAGTATTAGTGCACAACTGTATTTATTATCTTTATTTGTTAAAAATAAAGCAACGTCCAGAATGTAAAAACCTAGAGCAAGAATATCTTATTGTAATCTATCTATCTATATAATGTAGGTGCGCTGATGAGGTATTTTCTTAAGAGCGCTAACGACCTAATCCTTCACTGGTCGTCACCTCGTATTTATGTGTTATCGCACTATGAAATTTATCTCTCCCTGTAACACACAAACACACACACAAACAGTAATAATAGACACACTCAATAAACAAACAAATTTATTTGCACACCAATCACTCGTTTGTGTCAGGGTCCCGTTACTGTTGCTTGCTAACACGTGTCATATGAAATTATATAAATTAAGTTACTTAATAGTTCACCAGTTAATAGTTTATTGACAAGGTTAATATACTGACGGCTAACGTTCGCGAATGACTTTGTTTATGTGAATAAACATTCTGATATTATATAAATATAAATTAAAGACTTACCTACCGAAAAGGTATTTTATGAGAATTATATGAGATAAAAACAAGGGCAGTTAAAACCATTGTATGTTAGATGTAAATTTGGAGGTAAATATACATCTAACATACATAACATAATATTAGATGTAAATTTGAGTGTAAATAGGCCCCCATGAAGGTAAATATATTTTCCAAATCACTAATACATTTATGTATTCATGAACTAGCTGACCCGGCGAACTTCGTACCGCCTTACCGCCGTACCCGAAATGAATTCTCATTGAAACTATATTGTGACTGCGTGAATCACACAAAGATACTAAAATAAGCTTTCTCTTTACCCGACTATGGCGCAGCGAAAAGGAGGGTTATGATTTTGGCCGGTATGTTCTGTTCCCACAGTTGAACATTCTCATATACAAACACTCATCGTACCTGGACAAATGGAGGTATCATTAAAAGAATCTTAGTTATCCGCGTGCTGTATAGGCTATGTGACGTTACATGAAATTGGAAACAGAGCCCTCTAGAGAGCATAAAGTAAGAAACTACAAAAATTATTTATTCAATCACTCCGTGTAGGGTGTACGAGTAAACCCGTACATTAAGTATATAGCAGCCTTGAGCGTCATCAGCATTTTACTCGAGTGACTCGTTCATTGACCTAGTTTAGCTGTAGCAGTAATATTTTATTAATTTACGTATTGACATTTTCTGTATGTAATTTTAGTGTGTTTAATAAAGTCCGCGATAAAGCCCATCTTTCTCTACGGCCTTCCACACTCACAGCAACTTTAAAGTGTAGATTTACACCTACACTTTACATAGGGTATCAAATGAAAGGGCTTAATTAGGACATTTATATATAAAGTTGTGGCATACGACTGCGCTGTCATTTGGTGATCGCTATTATGATATAGCTGTCGCTATAAAATAAATGTCTTGTTTCAAACTTTTCAGAGTAGTCGGATTTTAGTTTTGAACTTATTTTTTAAATATATCCATAGAATAATTATTAATTGGTTTGTTATACTTGTTTGCTGACGACGACCATATATTAATTGTATGTATGTATATGTATATATAGATGGCACCGCGCGCTGGGCGCTGGCAGTGGCACCGCAGAAGCTTTGGTTAATATATATATATGTGAGGTCGCGTCGGCTCAGTCGCGTACAGTCCGGCGGTGCGGTGCTGTGCGGTGCTGTGTGGTGCGACGGACACCATCCGTACATATTACTTATACATATATAAAACAGTGACATGGCCGCGTTAACTGCGACCGCTCTGCTCGCCACACTCGCCGCTGTCATCGCGCGCGGTGAGTGGGACCCCGGACTCTTTATTATGTACTCAATCATCAATCAACACCGACAACTGTCCCAATTTGTGACATATTCCACACTTATTTTGCCGAATCATAGAGTACCTAGTTGCATCGGAAAGTTTAAAAAAAAACAATACTTATCAAGAAATAGAGAAGGCGTTAAATAAATAAGAGACATTTGGGTCACTCAGGACTCTGTCTCAGCATAGTTGTTACGACATACGTCGCAATAACACTGATATTCTTCAGGGCCTGTTGGTGTGTGACGTAAAAATAAACAAATAGGTACGTACATATATAAAACCATAATTATAATGAAATATACAGAATTAACATATAAACATTTCATAAACATAAAACAAAACCTACAAATGTATGTCATGTGTCACATGTCATAATATTGACATTTGTTTTATAAACCTTTAATTAATTTTAGGTAACTTTTATAATGTTATTAGGGACTAATTATTCTATGCGTCATTTAAAGGCGGTACCCAAATTTGTTTGCATTGTATAACCTGACGAGCTGTTCACTGTACATGGCATATTAGTTCATAATAACAAAGCAGAACGTGTTTAAATATGCCATTAAACATACATGTTTATGATTTAGCTAGTGTCAGTAGCGTGCCGGACCTATCGAGGTGCGAGGTAGCTGCGCGGACTGACGCGGGATGGGTGTGCGGAACACGCCGGCGCGCCGTCTCCAGCCGAGAATACGCCAGCTTCCTCGCCGTACCCTATGCAAAGCAACCACTAGGAGAGCTCAGATTTCAGGTATATAATCTTGTAGTCCCTCTAGTCAAATCGTTTAAGTTTTTTTATGATGATAAGGCCATCCATCGTCGGCTGTATCGCGCACATTAGTGCCGGCCAGACACTTGCCCTCAACGACTACCTGGTCTTTATGAATGTGCGAATGTTGAAAACGATTAGGTCCATTTGAAACAATAGAAACAATGAAAGCAAATGCGTGTTTACATTCAGCACAAAGCTTATTTAATGACACACTAAACTGATCTACACTAATATATTTGCAGGAGCTGCTCCCAGCAGAGCCATGGTACGGAGTGAGAAATGCGACTAATGAGGGTCCCGTGTGTCCGCAAACGGATGTGTTTTATATGCAGTTTCACACGGCCAAGGGCGGTATGAGCGAAGCGTGTATCCACGCGAACGTATACGTTCCTATCGAAGCCTTACCCGACCCTTACAAGGCCCCCGAAGTTAATACAACAGGCCCAGGACTGCCGGTGCTTGTGTTTATACACGGCGGAGGGTTCGCATTTGGATCAGGAGACCCCGATCTCTATGGCCCGGAGTATCTCGTCAGCAAAGGTGTAATCGTTATCACATTTAATTACAGGTAAGAATTAACAAAATCGACATTTATTAAGATCAGCGGAGTGGATCATGTCAGGTGATAAATTTATTGGTCGAAGTGTTTTGGAATTCTGTTGATTACACTTTACGTCATACGAGATTATTCGAGAACAGTTATCATTCAAGTAATCGCACTCCTCTATTATTGATGTTAGGTGCCTTAAGGATCATACATAATTGCAGACTGAACGTGTTCGGTTTCCTGTCGCTGAACTCCTCGCAGGTGCCTGGTAACATGGGGCTCCGGGACGGACTGTCCCTGCTGCGCTGGGTGCGCAGTAACGCTCGTGGGTTCGGCGGAGACCCACGCTCCGTCACCCTCGGCGGACAGAGTGCCGGCGCCGTCATGGCGCACATGCTCACGCTCACACCTGCGGCACACGGACTCATACATAGGTACAATCACGGACATTATCGCTCTGCCAACCATTAGGATAGTATCCCTTGCGCTTAGGCTAGCGTAAAAATCTCAACAGTTTCATTGAGAGATCGTCTGTTTCGTTACGTACGTTACATTTTTGGTATCTGTCGCATATTGCAGCGACTTTGCCAACGTATATATTTATTTATTTTATTCAAAATCAAAATCTATAGCAATTTACAATTAAGAACGTCATAAAATGAAAAAGAATTATAGTCTATTTATTTTATTTTCGTTTACTATTAGTAGGAATAATGTTTAATGTTTTGTTAATTCTACTAAGTTGATAATTGTGACTTATAATTAGCTTTTTGTTGTTATTAAGTTTATTATTTTCATTGTTTAGCTGTTGGTATTCCTACAATTAAATAAATAAATATCGTGTTAAAATTTATTTATATGCTTTAATTTTCAAAATAAGAATTTGCTATCAATTTATCCGATTAAACCGTATTTTAAAGTTTAAATATAAAAAAAAAATACTTGTAAAATTATTCATTCGGCCCTTTTTTAAATATTAATTAAATATTATAATCAATATTAAGTATTAGAAGTATTGTTTATTAGAAGTATAATCTGTAACAATCTTTATCGTAAAACTGCAAAATGAAAGATGAAAATAATATTTCTAAAATACAGAAAACAATCAAGTATGATAACAATTTAGCAATACCTTTACTTTAGTAACAAATTAATGTTGAATAAAATGGATGTGTATTACAATTAAATAATAAGTATAAAAATCAAAAATATCACAGAAAAAATATGAAATACCATTACAATTTACATCAACCTAGACTTAGTCGCGAAATAACATTGATCAAATTTATAATAAACTTAAGTATGTATGAAATATATATTTTTAAAATTCAAAATAGTTGCTTTAATTTACGAAGTCAAATTATAAACATAAAGCTAAGTATACTGTCTGGAGTTTAAATATAATGAGTAGGCACTTCATTTTTAATTTGAATGATTTAATCCAATTTTTAAGCCTTTCCTGGCTTAACAAATATATATAATATTTTTAGAATAATAGATGAAAGATAATCACAATTCTTCAATGTTGATTCAGAATATAATCAAACATCATTGCAATTTACATCAACGTATACCAAGTTGTGAAATAATTGACCAATTGACCAAAATTGACAATATTTATTACTATTCAATAATCATCAGATAAAACAGAAATTATGTAAAATATGTATTATAATTTTTTTGCATTAAAATTATATTATTTTTTTAATAATACAATTTAAATGAATATAGTCTCGTAAAATATACTGTTGGACTATACATCTCTCTCTCTCTCTAAACATGCATGTTTCATTTATAATATTAGATAAGTATTTTCTATTGTATACATAATCATTTTCCGAAAAAATATTAAACGTTTTGCTATCCATACTTCTTTTAATAATACTTTCTTTAGGATGAGTAAGGAATACATTTAGAATGAATTAAGTAAAATATTTATAGGTTGAGTTAGGAACACTAGGTTGGGATGAGTAAAGAAACGGGATGACGTCATAGAATGAATACAAAACAACCCATTTTATATAGGTCACAATAAGCATACGTCGCGTTTTCTCATTATTCTAATAACTCTATTCTCATTTCAAATTGTACTAATACACCACACAGTATGGAAGCGGTTTATCATGAGCTCTCTTGTAGTGGTGTTGTGTAGGATGGGTAAATCGTTAAGGACCACAAAAATAATTAGGATACCATTTTTCCCAAATCTTCAGCCTCGATAGACTAAAGTGTTTTTTCGAATGAAATATTTCAATTTGTTCCGTTCATGAAATCAAGTTTGGCATAGCTAGTAAGATAATTTGAAAGTGATAGCTGATAGCTTTGTTCATAATAAAATTACTTAAAATATTTTTAATCATTTTTAGAGGTAATAAAATTATCAAGCTGACAACACAAAAAGGCTTAGTTTACAGTAGATCGGTGCAGTAGTCTGTACCCCTGCTGTAAAATAAAACAGCGGAGTTGCAATAGCAATTCGATATTTGGAATCTTAATTTCGGGAAACTATAATAAGCTTTCAGAAAAGTAAAATGTGAATGATTTATAAAATTGTTTATTTGTTTCCAGAACTATTCTGATGAGCGGTACCGCATTCTCGGGTTTTATTAGCACATCACCATCTTTCGCTACCACAATAAACAAGCTCTTCTTGCCTATGCTCGGCATTGACCCGGAGCTTCCCGACGACGAAATTCACTATAGACTAATAGAAACACCCATCGACAAGATCATGGCCGCCAACAAGCAACTGCTAGATATATTCGGGCTAACGACATTCGTACCTGTTGTTGAATCCCCTCTGCCTGGAATTCAAGCTGTTCTAGACAATGACCCCGAAGTCCTTGTAGATTCCGGACGAGACTCGCGTGTGCCTCTATTGATTGGATTCACGGATGAGGAATGCGAATCGTTCCGGCAAAGGTTTCAGGAGGTACATATAATAGAGCAACTGGAGAAGTCACCTTCCTTAGCTGTGTCACCACGTTTGACGTTCAAAGCGGGTGAAAAATTACCGATAATCACAGAAGCTATCAATGCGAGGTACTTTAACGGTACCGTCGATATGGACAGGTATATACGCCTGTGTACGGAACAGTACTACAAGTATCCACCACTGAAGCTTGTCAAGAAGCGATCGTTGGCTGCTGCACCGACATTTCTGTACAGGTGTTTATACTTTTATTTTTTTAAATAAGCAACTTAAAACTTCTACATTAAATCCCAGCTAGAATTAAAATTTGTTATAAGAATATTACGGGTATGTTAACGATTATATTGTAAAAAAAATATATAAGATTTTGGATAACTTAAAACTAGAATGGTTAGGTTAAAATATTTTGGGAGTGTGTGACTTAAGATAATAGAAATTCGACACGTTCTACGATTATTTTTAAATATTTAAATTAAGCAACTTAACACTGCTCAATGCATATTTTTTGCAATTCTTGAAAAGAACCCCAAATCTAATTTAGTTAATTGAAGGCTAACACTCGGGTATTTAGGTTCTCGTTCGGAGGATCACCGAGCATATGGAAAGTGGGCAGAAGGATGGAGTACTCGGGCGCGAGCCACGTGGAGGACCTCACGTACGTGTTCCGCACCTCACAGCTGGGACCGCTCGCTGATGATGAACTATCAGCGCATGATGACAACGCACGGATTAGGGATTCGATGACAGATCACGTGGTCAACTTCATGAGATACGGGTATAGATTTTATTAAAAGTAACCGATAACTTCATACATTTTTTCGTTTCGGATCGCAACTTTTTCGTTTAAAATAGAAGTTTGCTGTTGATTTAAAAATAACTAAACGTCAGAAGAAACTTTTACCATAATGAAGTGTTCGACCGAAACTGAAATAGAGTCTTACTTTCGGCCGAAACTAAAACTGAAATCGAAACTTCCTCACGAGAATCATATTCTGAAGGAAAAAAAAATCAAAAAACCCGACTGCGTAAAAACGAATTTTAAAATACATTAAAAGGTTAACTTAAAGAAGCAAGCCCAGTAGTTTATAATTCTGTTAAGTAATACTAAATAACTACACAATTGAAATAGTTTTATAATCGATACACACACAAAACAAATCATAAATTTATATCAAAATTTTATATTGTATATAAACAACCTGTGGCAATTCTCCGAAGAGCTGGTCACTCAATTACCCTTATAACACCCATTGATATTTGTTCTTCATGCTTTTTCACTGTTTTTCTTTTGTTTGTATATCGTTTATACTTTATATAAAAACCTTAAACAATAAGTAAGAAATTTAGCGAGAATGATTGTTTTGTTACAACAACTTTAAATCGTTATATATTCTTAACTATTATTTAAAATGAAAAATGATAAAAGGAAGCTAAAGATGATTTTAACATACCTATTTACATAGTTAATCGATTTTTTTTTTCATTTTGATAATATGGCGTCTGGTTGTCGCTGTGGTGAATTTTGATTACTGTCATGTCTTTAGTGACACTCGCAAGGTTCGAATCGATTGACGTAAGAATCATCAAAATCGGCCTACGCATTTGGTCTCTAGAACGCCACATAGAAACAAACATACATACATACATAGACTGATAAACACATTACCCTCCTTTGCGTCGCGCAGTCGGATAAAAAAAAGGAAACGGGATTATATAACAGTCTTTATTATTATCCAACTGCAAAGGAAGGGTTATGTTTTTTGCGTGTATATTTTATGTATATGTTTACTGATCGAAATCGCTCATTGAGTAAAAAAATATTTGAGAACGTGTTGTGGCCACAATAAAATATCCACATAGCAAAATTCTTGTTATGTCTCTAATGGAAACGCTCACGACGCGTTGTAGCTATAGCAGAATAACCACATAGCGAAACCAGTGTCATGGCTGACATGCTATTCGACCTCAACGCGTTGTCGCAAAGAAGAAAAGCCACGACGCGTTTAGAGCATTAATTGGATGTTCTGGATATTCGCTGGCCGATCCCATAGCACGCTCGATTTGCTCGCTCGGCTCGTGGGTTGTTTGTCATAATCTAACCTCACCTAACCTATATGTTTCTGTTGCTATATTTAATAAAAAAATCTTGAACTAAAATCTATATCCATACCGCAAAGTACGCATTTATCTCCTTAAAACGTAGAGATCATGTAATCGAAGACAAGTGTCTGGATGTATCACTACTTCCTCGATTGCATGATAGCTACATTTTAAAGGGACGGTATTAATAGTTGATTTTGTAATTAGTCTGTTAAGATAAACATTTAGCAATGTTCAATTCGTTTTAAACTAATATAACGAGTATTGTGTTAAGCCATCCCCTGCCTGGTCCGGTGTTGTCACGGCGGTGGTCGCCGGTGAGGACGCCGCTGCACTACCAGGAGATCGCCGACCCCCGACACATACACGCCGCCGCCCCTACATGTCACGAGACAAACGCCCTAAAATTCTTTACACGCCTCGACTGTATCGTCGAAAAAGATAAAACCAACACAACATTATGAAGCAACCCAGCTCGTAAGTTTTCATAATAGTTTTAAGGGTCCGTACTCAAATGGTAAAAAATGGAGCGCTATTAGTAAGACTACCCTGTCCATCCGTCCGTCTGTCACCATGAACAACATGTAGCTCATGAACCGTGATAGTCAAGACAGTTGGAGTTGAGTATTTCACAGATGATGTATTTCTGTTGCCGCTATGACAAAAAATACTGAATATAAAATAAATATTTAAAAGGGCTACAATATTTACAACTTACCGCGATATTTTCTGAGTACCCCCTTTGCTGAGTACCTACATCGAATTCTTATTACAAACGTGTGGAAATACTTGTCACACGTTTGTATTTCAATTCTTAGATACCCTAAGTTGCAAACAGTCAATATTATCATGTCTCTTAGAGATCTTGAATAGATGCGCAATATTTTATATAAATAATATTTTATTTAGATGACGTCATCGCTCCGAGGAGGGAAGCTGCCTCATCAAAATCTGAAGTGCAACGATGGTCGGGATACGTGAGAAATATTTTCCTGATATATGTGATGACCTCGAGGATGGATACAATTTGGTTAAAACATGGATTGATTAAATATACAAATGATTTGTGACGATGTTTTATTTCTCCTTTCTGTATTTTGAGACAGAATATCATGCTCAAAGTTATAGTTTTACGTTTTTCCCCTTTTCTTATCTGGCTTGGCTTCGTTGTACGAAATTGTAATTGTAAAATATCAGACAACATCACATATATTCATTTGAAATCATTTTTAATTCAAATAAGCTACTGAAAGCATATTTGAGTCATCCAACATTTTTTACCTTTAAATAATCAGCAACTTTATTCATAACAGTCTTTGGCATTAAGATTAAATTTATTTGCAGAAAGCTCAGTCACATTTTGTAGAACTTTGTTCAATGAAATAATGTCGGGAATTCAAAAATATAATGTACATGGAGCAATCCCATAGAAAAATATCATTCTAATGTAAGTGACAATGTAAAATTTAAAGCTCAAAACCCGATAAATACCAGTTTGTTTATAATATAAAGGGAAAACCACTATGTCAATTCGAATAGAACGTGAAACGTTGCAATCGAGATGAGAATAGATAGTCCTTTTCACATATTACATTGTGGATGAATCGATTCAACAGACTATCTATCACGGTTCAGAGAACAGCCACAGTGAGTGACCACAGGCAGTAACTGACACGACACAGTCTTGTATCAATAGCAAATAGCAATTTCGGAATTTTATTTCGCTCTCTTATTATTAGTAATCGTACGGTGACAATCCTTACTCGAAATTAGTAGAAGTATTCTTAGGTTCTGTACCTTTTTCTCAGGAACGCGTGGAGGTATCCAGCTGAAATTTATATCAAATACTCAGGATTACTGTCCTTTGGAGCTGTGAGAGAAATCAAACTTTTGAGCCAACGCAATCAACAGATACAGCCGTTAATGACGCAAATTTCCGAAACTCGCAAGGGAATCAAAACCCACAGGGTAATTCCCGTGAATTCAGAATTTTGAAATTTGGTAGCAAGCAACGTCTTATAGCACAGATGAAGGAAAAATTCCGAAAACCGTAAATTTTTAGTTACATCATATATTTTATTGATTTAATCTTTATGCCTATAAAATAGCAAATGGCGGACTTAATGCCAAGAAGGCATCCTCTACCAGTCAAACCGGTGAAGGTGTACAGAGCATTCAAAATATAATAAAAATATTTATTAATTTATCAAACTTTATTGTCCAACGAATAAATGGCACAACATGCGGACTTAATTGTAATAGAATTCTCTACCAGTCAACCTTTGGGAAAACAGAAAAACATGGGGTCGGCATATAGTGATCTTACAATTTGCTTAAAAGCAAGTTCATACATATCATACATACATATACACATACCTATACATAGTATTATGAAGATCATTTTAATCGTTGCATAAGAAAAATGTGAGCTTTCTTTTTAAATATAAATTTGTTGGGTGCCTAATGGAATCGGGGAGGTAATTCCAGTCGTATTGCTTGAATGGCAAAGGAGTCAGACATAAAGCCAGAATGGAAAAGTGCATTAGACAGTGAAGGTGTATCACCTAATCTAATCACAAAGATACTGTTACATTTTAAGTAATTTGGAGAATGAGAATTGGAATCCTTTAATGATACAAATGACATTGAGAAGACACTGGTTTATAAAAAAAAAACAGGTAAAACTAACTTAGAAGACAGGCCTCAAATATAAAATAACTGGTTTTTGCACAAAATAAAGAAATTAATCTTGTTACTTTTATGCGGTTTAATCGCAATATTTTCGAAAAATTGTTAGATTTTACGTATGAAATTTAACAAACTCATTTAAATATCTTTTCTTTTCAATAATTTTCTCATCGTTACAATACGGCGCATAACATAATAACGATTAAAGATCCATTAACAAGATGCCTGTGTAATAATACATACTCAACATACTGTTTAATATTATATTTTAAAGTTATTGCGCCGTACACTTTTATATTCACAGTGAACATAATGTATATGATTTCACCGATTGTATTAAAGCTGCTCATGGCAACTTAAATGTGCAAACGTTTGCCAACTGTGCGTACAGAAAACACTACTTTTAACAGCATGTTCAAGCTGCTGACGGTCATATCTCTAGCGTCGGTGACACGTCAGGAGGTGGTCACCACAGTCCAAGGACGGATACGGGGTGTGACTCAAGATGGGTTTGTATCTTTCATTGGGATACCATACGCTACGATCAACGGAGCCGGTGGTCGATTTAAGGTAAATATTAGATTAACTTAATTGATTTTATAATTATTAAGTAAGACGCAAAGTAATACATTAAAAATACACCCTGGCTCATATTTGAGGTCGAGAAGGGACAGATTGAGTTATCCGTCAGTTATCTAATAAGAGGGGATAGTTACACGGTAAAGCCGCACGAATTTTCATAGTATATTATATTGTATACATATATCTGTGAATGTTTCAATCATATAACCGATTCACCGAATATATAGTCAAATTCAGCAGAACTTATATTATAGATATTTTTAAACATTCACGAATCATGTACATGACTGTACCACGATGGAAGTACATACACACGCGCGCGATTACCAACCCTCCATTTAATTTCCTGTGTAATCACGTCAAATCCTAAAAAGGATATTCGCTAAGATATTATATATCTACCTACTTCGTTCTGCTAATAGAATATGATTCTCTTGTAGATAGCATACATATATTTCTGATTACATCTATTTTCACTGACTAATGAGATATTTTTGAGGTTTTTGTTAGACATTAATATATTACCAATAATTCGATATTACCTCAATAATTTAGATAGATAGGTTTTGTACGACATTAGAAGAATAGATCGATTTTTGGTAGATCGATCGTTACGTTATCGATTTTGTCAAGAACCGATTTAAAGGCTCTGATTCACATAATCGATTTTTTTACTGTAGACCGGAAACCCTACTTTCAACAATAATAACAATTATTAGAAACAATAGTAGTTAATATTGCAGCAAGCTGGCTTAGCCCCGAATTGGTCTGGAATTAGAGAATCCCAATACGTGCACTGTACCGAGTCTTCCCCTGTAGAAGACTGTCTTCAACTGGAAGTCCATATGCCAACTACTGGAGGCGCTCCGTGGCCGGTCTTCGTGTGGGTCAGGGGGGGCAGTGGCCGATACAACCCTGGCCTACTAGTGCAACAGGGGATAGTCGCAGTCATAGTCAGTCATAGGTAAATTTGTGTATGCTTCTATATAGCTTACTAATATTATAAAGAAAATATTTGATTGTTTGTTCGATTGGATAGGCTCCTAAACTACTGAACCGATTTTTAGGAATGAAACGAATCGACTAAACACAAGTACATACTCGATACTAAATGTTTTGGTATCGATACTTTAGAACCGAATAACAAGTAGTATCGTGGAAGCAAAGAAGCAAAAAGTTTAGATGGGTTATCTGCGCATAACACTGACAACAAGAAAGCAAGGCAAATGGCCTGAGTTTCACTTTAATCACGTTTCAGCAAGTCATTTTCGCTCGTAATATTCTGTGAAAACATACTATTTTTTATTTTAATAAAAATATTAAACGTTTATATTTTTTACAAACATGAAGCTAAGCCAGTATATTTATCTCGTTCTAACAAGAGCGATACCGTATAATTCTAATAGGGAGATAACTATTTTTGATTTCTTCGCGCCTTCGTAACGCTACCACAATAAAGTTTTAAAACGCAGTAATGTACGGGTATGACGTGTCTAATAATAAAACGTATACGCGGATTACATGGACTATAATTTATGCAAGCTAAGTCGCGGGACAGAATAGTTAAATATAACTTTGTTCTAGATTGGGGCCGACAGGATTCCTATGCCTCGGTGAAGAGAGTATACCCGGAAATGCTGGTGTCAAAGATGTCATTGTCGCACTACGTTGGGTGAGAGACAACATAAGCGCCTTTAAAGGCAACCCGAACAGAGTGGTGGTAGCTGGACAAAGCTACGGAGCGGCCATGGTGGAGGCTCTTGTTATCTCTGAAATGTCGCGAGGACTGTTTCATGGTGCTATTTTACAAAGTGGCAGTGTATTGAGCCCTTGGGCTTTTAATTACGACGCCAAACTACGAGGAGAGTTTTTAAAAAGAATGTACCCAGACGATGTAGACGTAACTACAACGAATCTAAATATTTTGGTCCATAACTCGAAACAGATCGATTTCTCTTACTATGCTTTCGGAATGTGTGCTGAAAAAGCTTTTAAGCATCAAGAGGTGTTGTTATCAGATCCACCTTATAGACTTGAATCGTCGAACAATTTAAGAACAGTACCTCTGATGATAGGTTACAACAGTAACGAAGCTTACGTGTTCGTATCGAATTTGAAGCGAAATAATATCCTCAAAAAAGTAAAACGAAACTTATCTCTGCTTTTGCCGGAAGAGCTCAAGTTTCTAGACGACGTAGAAGTAAACGATGTTATAAATCAAATAAGAGATTTATATTTCAAGCACAATAACATTACAATGCACGCGTTACTGTCCTATCATAGGTAAGTCAGTTTAGAAATTTAGTTGGACGCCAACTGCATCGCTATAAAAACAGTTGCTATACTACGAAATGTTATTTTCCAGTGACGCATACTTTGTAAATCACATATATAGAAGCGTACGTCTACATTCAACGTCTCATCTACCGATCTACTTGTATCAGTTCTCTCATTCTACAGAACTCGGTGTGAGCACCGTTCACGGGATAAAGAAGTACGGTGCAGCACATTCTGACGAACTGGCGTATTTATTTAAAGAAAAAGGAAATGGGATTGAAGGCGTTAATGCAATGGTTCTAAGCAATTTGATTTCATTGTGGACGAACTTCGTGAAATGTCTGTTAGTATATTTTTGTTTTTTTTTAACATAAATACGAAAATCGATTGATTATTCAAAAATTTTATATTATATATCTACTAAACACATTTACGCATCTAGAGAAAATATAAAAAATATGTAAATCGTGTATTTCAGAAATCCAACAACGATGGATTCATCGATTCCTTGGGAACATTTCGAATTAGAAAATCGCCGCATATTGGACATCAGTTCGGAGCTGATCATGAAGAATTTCTCTCGACATCAACACATGGTCACTTGGGACGATATCTACGATAGATACTATTACTCGAGGCAACATATTATTGTGTGACAACGGAAAAAAAAATAAAAATTTTACTGATTTTTTTTATGAGAGAATGACCATAGAAGTTTAAGAATTGTTTTATTACTTAGTTATTAAAGAAAAAAAATTTAATATTTACTTAAAAAGAAGAAAAGGTAGAGTACATTACCAGTTAATTGGACTCAGTGAAACGGCCGTATTTTCAACTAATAATGATGACTTCTGTTTACCTGGAAAAAAAGGAATAATAATGTAATAATACTTATATATAACACACGTGATTGTGTTGATAGCAAATAATCTAGTTTTTCATTTGAAACAAAAACAAGAACCTCAACGAAATACTTTTTAGAACTTCAGAACTGTAATGACGTACGGTTTTTTATAAAATCGTGAAACTAATGACCATTGATATATTATTAGAATAATCCTTAGCTATAAGCACGTCTGGATTTTCTGTTATTATTGGAATGACATTCGGAAACGGAAGATTCGTCAACTGATCCAGAGCTCGTCAAACCATTTGTTAATATATATATATTAATTATTAAAAGATTGTTACTGTTACTGTAAAAATCTACCGCCGTGCCGCGCTCACGTGTATCTGCTCGTCGCTGTCCTTATGTCATTCCAATAATAACAGAAAATCCGGACGTGCTTATAGCTAAGGGTTATTCTAATAATATATCAATGGTCATTAGTTTCACGATTTTATATTTCTTTAATAATAAGAAATAAAAATGATAAAAACGTATATATTTTCTAACCTACAATAGGTAAAGATATTACTTTTAATGTGTACTTAAAGTTAGATACTACAAAAAACAGGTAAGTGCGAGTGGGACTCCCGCACAGAGGGTTCCGTGGAAATATTACATTTTAATACCTTAGAACCTAACCAAAATGCTTTGTTTTCATAGTAGTTGTATGGATGCCAAAGTAATATTTATGATTTTTGATAATGTGCTATATTTTAGAAAGTGACTATATCCCGTTTAAACGAATTTTCGTTAAAAATGTTAATTGGGATCTACAACATATTTTTACGTATTTCACTATTAAATTATAAAAAATAGAGGGGGGAGGGTACTTCGCTCACATTTCGCTCACTTTGGAAGTGATGATGCGATCGGTTAAGGGCCCACCCGTTAAAGGTTTTGTGTATTAACTGTTGTTTTGTAGTCGCATGTAGAGTGAGACCCTTAAGGGCTCATATCACTGGCCGATAAACTCTCAGTTTCAGTCAAAATCTGAATAATGCACTCCGCTTACGGGCTCTATAGACCAATGTAAATGAGCCAGCAGTAGTGGATAAACCAACATTTAATGACAAACTAATGAAAATAAGCACAGAAATCGTCTGCACTCCGCGTATGGACCCTATCGACCTATGAAAATGATTCTCTTAGGTACTTACCTACATAAAAATATCTTTACACGCATATTTAGAAGTTTTAATTCGAGTCTTGAGTTCGAATGGTAAAATTGAAACTCCCATATGTCACAGCCACATTATTTAGAAGCCAATTGTTAGTTAGTAGTTGAGGTACCTTTTTGTCTGTTTTGTGGTTATGACCTACATATAAAGTATCAAGACTTTATAAGATGCATTCTGCTAAACGCTTAAAGAATTTTTCTTTTCCTTATTTAATTTTTTTTTATGGGATAGGGGGCATACGAACAGTCGGATCACCTGATGGTAAATGATTACCGTCGCACGTGGACACCTGCAACACCAGAGGGGCTACAAGCGCGCTGCCGGCTTTAAAAATACCTATATACCTAAATATATTATTAGGGTTCTTTTATTGTTGTACTTTAATACATAGGGACAATACAATATTAATAGAAGACTTTTAGTGCCCTCTATCGAGTAATAAATAAAACGCGATTAAGATGTTAGTAATGCTCAAATAAGAACCCATAGTACACACTACTAAGCTGCGCCATCGCGGTAATGATCGGTGCTGTGACGTCAGACGCTGAAGGTACCGCGTGAAGCGAAATTGTTCGAGCGAGCGCAACTTCGAAGCCCCATTAGATTTTTTTAAATGTAAATATATATATTTTTTACTGTATTTTTTGATTAAACTTTTTCTTTCATTTTAAATAGAAAAGAAATAGTAAACTTATAAAAAAAAGTAAACACTTTGATTTTGCTAACAATAAGACCTAATGGTCTCCTAATCTATTAAAATTAGTTTAATACCAAGTGGAAATATTCAGAATGGTTATTCCATTCATATTTTTTTTGTTATAAAAGCCAAATGTGGATACTACAGAACCATTTGAAAAGAACCAGAACGAAAGTTTGAAATACAGCTTTAAAAATTAACAGTAAACACGCCTACATCATCAGTGTAATAGTTATATTTTAAAGTAGGTTTAATTTGATTCAACCTCTATGATAGTGTCAATGCTGCGCTCGTCGCTACGTCACTTCGAGCCTGTTTGCACTGCAGGACTCGTCATTTTCTTGGAACAAATACTATCTAAACCTTATTTTCTAAGAAAAGGGAATAAAAGTCATAAATAAAAATGTAGTATATATCTATATAGTAGTATATATACACATATAATTAAATAAGTTTGTTAAACTCTATTTTTGAATCACTTAACTCGTGTGCAGCGCTCGTCGATTACTAATTTACATTGTTCATAACAAATTCACAATTTTTGTTTCCCCCGACCGCAAGGAGTGGCATCAGCCACGCCCTACTAGACAAACGACGAGGTCCACTCTATCATTGGATGTCGATGTCGAAACTCAAACATTTTTAAACATAGTATGGTCTTTATTTCTGCCTATATTCGATCGTTATTTTAATTTTTTACAAGCGATATAGACTCTAACCGACATAAAGCTAGATTACTTGAAACAACTATTATATAAAATGTCCTGTCCATATATCTACAAATGGTATACATAATTGCAATTGTGAATAATTCAAAATATGCAGAAAAACAGTCCCAAGCCTAAATAGTCGAGGATGTCTTAAGATGTTTACGGCATCGGCAAGATTTTGAACGAGTGAATTACAGAAAAAGCTTCTGGAGTATCTCGCTTCCTAGCGAGATTAGTTCTCATTGGTATCGTTTCAAGATTGTTAAATCCTGTTAATCATGAGTGTTATACTCCTATATTCAAACATACCACTCAATTGGCTAGTCTGATCGCCTATTCCATTGAGATCTGATCTAAATTAAATAAATTAAATCCTGTTTTAATGTAGTATTACAATGTAACGCAGTCTACGTTGTTACTATGCAATTATGCATGAGCAATTGAATGGACAAGTTATTCAATTTCAGCGTTAGTGTTAGCTCGGGCGCTTTATCAATATGGAAAATGCCAATCTAGCACATTTCAGTTGCAATTTGGACTTTCAGGCCTTAGCGGTAAAGGTAGGAGGGAACAACAACAAGAGTCAATTCGATATACATAAAAGTGAATGCTGAGTGCTGCGATAACTTCATAATCCAAAGTAGTGGAGCTCCATAACATTGATAAGGTACAAGCTTTCGGTATTGGTTGACAGATAAGTGTACGGTGTGCCAATAAAATATTATGCGATTTTGAAAAATACCTTTTTGTTTGTATGACATCCTTACAATGACATTCTTTTCTAGTCTATTTTAAAATCATATATGTTAAAATAGCAGTTCTCAAACTTTTCTGACGATGAAACTTAAGCATGTTAATAAAATAATAACCTACATGGTCCCTAACGCCCTGGAGCTCGGAGCACTTTTAAAAAGCCAGGTTTAGAAAATTTCGACATAGGAACAAAAATATACATAAATTGTACACAAAGCTACAATTTCGACATAGGAACAAAAATATACATAAATTGTACACAAAGCTACAATTCGACATGGCATCGTGCAAGTCTGAGTTTGCCCGCCACATAGCAGGAATTTGCGGATTTTCTCGCATCAACCATTGCTGCGATTTTACTTCACATCTATTGCCATCAGTTCGCGAACCGTGCCGTGGAACCGCCGATTTTGCCGTACCAAATCGCATCGCACCAATTCGAAGTTTTGTGTACAATCGGCTACTACGTCTACGTTACGTCTTAGATTACTAGTAGTGTATAATGAACAAGTGGTGTTCCATAGCATAGTGCATGTAAAGCGCTTCAATACACATCATAGGACTAATAAGATCAAGCGTTCTTCGGCTTATACTAAATTTTCCGACACTAATTTAACAGAAAAAAGAAATACAAGTTATGCTAAACGCATTTTCATATAAATTACGTCTTACTATTGTACGTACTGGATATTTATTTATAACGATTCTTACATAAAATGGTACGTCCAACTGTATATTGATTCGAATAAAAAATATTTTTGTTGGCAACTGTCTCTTATCTAAGAGATCGATCGTATTTCGGTGTTGTAACGTGATATGAACGAAAAGCAGTTCTGTAGTCGCAAACAGGACAGAGGGGCGGTTTACTTGGTGCCACCACGGAACAGCACGGTAAGCGATACACGATTAGCATAATTACTGTTACGTGTACTACCCACGAGCTAGTAAGCTAGGTAGTAAGCATAAAAATTGTTATTTCAAATATATACTGCTAATTTATGCCATTCATTAACTCAACCTTAATACTGGACCACGCGAATATCTTAACATCCTTGTTTATTGGCCATATTTGTTACATGTTATTGAAAAAAGGGGACGTTATACGATATCTTTCACCAGTTAATTGAAATTTAACGATAAATGAATCTGTTCAAAAATCAAATTGTCTATTATCGATTAAATTAAGTCTTTGCATATACGTTATATTGGTATCTATATAAATAAATTGTTTTGGTAATGTTTTGCGAAAACTTGTTGTGCACAAAAACGTTAAAGGCATGAAACGTACAATACAAGTCATACTTATTACCCGCAATTTTTGCTCTAGGTTGTCTTTTATGACGTCATAAAAATATAGCTAATTCTACGGTATCCTTTACCGGAGAGAATACTATCTTTTCTTTAGGAAATAATTTTCATTTTAATAAAGTTAAGCGAACGAAGGCTTTAGCCAATAGTTATTTAAAGGAGATAACGGGTACTACACCGATATTCCTATGACAATAAATTGTTTTAAATACTAGTAGCGGTGTTATTAAACATGTTTGATTCATAATTTCATAACCTTATTTAATAAATTACTAGATAACTGACATTTAATATTTACATAGTTATTTCTTCTATCGTAGGAATGCCCACAAAAACTTGACAGAAAATGATGAGATGGAAAATATTGTGGTTAATAACTGCTCTGATTGCGTCAGAATATACCAAAGGAGTAAAAGTAAAGGTAGCAAGGGTATCTGAACTTAACAACAAAAATGTTCTCAATATATTGAGACGGGATACCATTCAGCATATTAAGGCAGAAACAGACACAGATAATGAAATACAAAGCAACAACAATAAAAAAGAAACTGTGAATAATAATCCCAACTATTTTGTATCAAATAAAACATACACGAAAGATGACGCGGGCCCCGACCACGCTAATCTTACTAAAAGTAATAATGTATCTTCTGTTATTGAAACGATTCATTCTGCTGGTGCAAAATTAGAAAGTAATACTAGAAAGAAAGCAGGAAATGAAATGCTACGATTAGAAATGGAAGACATGGAGCATAAATTAGCCAATGGGCAAAGCCGTCAAGCAAAGGCAACAGAACTAATTGTAGAAACGGATATTGGTAAAGTAAAAGGACATGTCTGGCAAAATTCAGATGAAATTATTTCTTATTTGGATATTCCATATGGAAGATTCACTTTATTCGAGGTTTGGCACTATATTAATGTATTTAATATTTAATCAATTCAAATCAATTAAGCATTTAAAATCTTGGAAGTATCAAAATAATATTTTAAAAAACTATCAACGTTTTAATCGATAATTTTTACAGGCCCCCGTAAAAGCAAATAAATTGGAAGAAGTTCATTCTGCAACAGAACATACAAAGCTATGCCCACAAATTGAAGATAATGCATTCATTGGAAATACCGAATGTTTGACTCTGAGTATTTTTGCATTGAAAACGGCTATAAATGCGAGTGTATTATTTTATATTCACGATCATAATTCAAATACAGGCAGTGGGAATCCTTCTAAATACGGTCCAGAATTTCTTGTAAAAAAAGGTATAATTTTAGTTTTACCAAATTATCGGCTAGGAGCATTAGGGTTTTTGTGTTTGCAAAATGATATAGCTCCAGGAAATGCAGCATTGAAAGATTTGGGTCTCGCATTAGAATGGACCAAGAACAACATAAAAAAATTTGGTGGAAATCCGTCAAACATAGTCATTAGCGGTGACGGGCAATCTAGCGCCTTAGCAGGCTTGTTAGCATTGTCTTCAGATTATAAACAGCATATTAATAAAGTAATATCAGAGAGCGGCGCAGTGCTTTCCCATTGGGCCATAGATAGGAACCCAATTAGAACTGCCAATCAATTAGCAGAACAAATACAGAGTACAACAAAAAATACCGCCGATAATGTATTTGATGACATTGAAATAGAACATTTGATAAGATCTACAAATAATTTTATTCTGAGGCCTTGCATTGAAAAAAATAGCAATGGGATATTAAAACGAAGTCCTTGGGCCATATTAAACAGCGAAGCATTTAACATGTTTTTTATGATAGGGTCTGCCAACCACGCTGGACTACCAGAGGCTTTACAATATGACAAAGATACGCTTTCACAATTAAATGAAGTCTTCGATAGCGCGTTACCAAATGATTTAGTTTTTCCCAACGATGATACAAGAAGACGCATGGGTGAAAGAATCAGGAGTCAATATTTTGGAACTGATGACATCGTACCAAATGTAATAGCAAATTTGTCCTTATACCACACTGATGTTTCTTTTCTTAGTGCAGATTTAAGATTAGCTAGAGCGCTGGTAGCAGCAGGAGCCACAGTTTACCTCTATGAATTTTCTTTTATGGGTGAATTCAATAATGCATTGCAATCTATAGTCACGGAGTCGCGCCAGGGTGCGATAGGAGGAGATGTCACAGGCTACTTATTTTCAAAAAAAGGGCGCATGCCTACTACGGATTCGAAAGAGGAAAAAGTTGTAGAGAAGATGACAGACCTATGGGTTAATTTTATTAACAAAGGGTCAGTAATCAGTGTCTATTTATTAAAATTTCAGCCAGTTTTAAAGCCTTCAATAAATGATACTCAAAATTCATTCCTTCTAAATAAAAAGTTTTTATATAATAACAAAAGCACGAACTGAACGGGTATTTCGAATTATCGGATATTAATTGGTTAATTACACAGTACATGCATGGTGTTCACGAGAAAATTGGTCTTATTTTTCAGCGACCCTAGTGTCGAAGGTATCTCTTGGGATAAGTTCAACATCGCGGAAGATACGCAAGAGCCATGGTTGTCGATTACAGAAGACGCCTCTCCAGAGACCGGATTCCACTACGATCGTTTAAGGATTTGGACTGATCTGTATCGGAACTACTTCATCGACCACAGCGCTTGCACAAACATACAGCCCTACAGTTACATTTACTATGTAACGATGTTGTGGTTTTTATTTTTTTCGGAATATACATTTTAATAGGGTTCCATCCTTTCTGTTTTTTATAAGATTTCTTTTGATATACCTAAGTTATTTTGGATTATATAATTCCAAGGAACTTTGATAATGTACAACTATTATTGAATGGAAAGTCATGTATTTAGCCTAATTATTATTGAGCACTTTATTGTACTGCGTAAATATATGTTGTGTTAGAAGTGTCGTGACTCATATTTTGATACCACAAATCCACCAAGTTTACAATAGGATACTGTTGTTTAATAATAAAGCTTTAACTATATCATAACAGAGTTAGGTGTTCTCGTGAGGATGTATTCATAGTGTCTTACTAATATAAAGATAAATCAAATAATATTACAAGAAAAATAAACAAGAGCTTTCTTTCAATCGCCATCGGTTTCATGATACCTTTTTATATACATCATATAAGCAGGAAAGAAAACAACGAAAAAGGTTCAGTTAAGTCTCACTATCGCTGATATATCAGGTAGGTAGCAATGGCTAAGCGAGTTGGATTGAATTTTATAAAAAAAAAATACAGTATCTCAGAATTACATTTAATTAACTTAAGAGTAAGAACGATTCCCGGCACATAGTACAAGTATTGAAGAGCTTAATACTTTGTTATTGTTATGGTCAAGTTATAACATTTTTAATGTGCTTTTAATTTTATATCAAGCATTTGCTTTATTTAAAATCGTTATAATATTGAAAAAAAATATATAGAGCTATTTTTTAATGTTATTCTTAAATTTAACGTATTAACTCTTTAAAACGTTTACAGAATAAATAAATTAAAACATAGAAATATTTGCAGGGAAAAATTCTCATCCGTGAAAAATAATGAAGTATAGACATGCCTTTACAATGAATTCCACTAGAAATTGCAGTCGCTATGGACACTGTTATATTTACCTTCAATCAACACGACCAACATCAGATATCATCAGTATAATCTACAATCTAATTATAATTGAAAAAAAAAACAGTACCGAATAGAGCAGTCTAAACGAAGACCACAAAACACTAAGAAACGAATTACATCGTACTTTTATTCCACCTCGGTCCGCAACTGGAAGTTTCTCTGTTACAGAAACATGTTTACAAAACGGAGAATATTATTGGTCACTTATGTGCTGGTTTGTGGAGCAATGGTTGCGCCAAAAGCGCACCGCGACGTGAGCACTAGTGGTGGAGTGGTACGCGGCTACCTCACACCCCAGTCGTACTATGCCTACTTAGGTATACCCTACGCCCGTCCCACGCGCCGCCACAGGTTTAAGGTCAGATGTCCATTTGGTGATAGCATCAATGTCAATTTCACTATCTCACACGTCAATTTGTCGCTCATTTTTGTCGCTGGTGAAATTCCGACACGAGAAAATTATAAGGAAAATGTTAGCCATCTATACCACAGTGGTAATGTGTTATATGATTTCATTTTGGATACATAATAACTGGAACAATTATGGGTAAGTTTTATAAAATTAAATTATATTGTCAAACTAAGAAAGGCGAACAAGATTCACAGACAAATTAATTTAAAATAGTTTTCAAAAATATTATAACTTATAAAACAACTTCGATCCAGTTATGGCGTTCTGTCCATTCAAACAGACCTACAGATTTTATTGGATTTCCATCGATCTGCGATTTTAATCAGTCAAATAATCATCTGTTCGTATCAGCCCACAGCTGGCGTAGATCTTTCGCAAGTCTTGCCACTAAAGCAGTTTCTGAATCTGAGTATTGCATTATTTGAGTATTATCTGAGTATTGTATTGCATTTCAGTTTTATTCCACTTCAACTCCCATGCAGATCCAGACCTCTTAGGCATAATCGAGTCAACTTCCCATATTCTTCCACATACATTTGACATCACATGGTGCTCGGTTCATGAATCTCTACTTTGTGTAACTCTAAAAAAGCTTTGTGGAAGACATTGGTTCTGGATCTCAAGTGCTCATTACTAAGATAACAAATAAACACTCTCCCTAATCCAAATTCTGTTAGGAATGTTAGAATACAAATTAATTAGCGTAATAATAGCTGGGGCAACCGTGAGGTCACGCGATGCTTTTATTTCCGACCGCCACAAACGAATCGGGCTCGTATCGGGAAATAAACACAAACTAATTTTTATCTTCACGTGTTGTTGTTGTGATTAAGTTGCTGCACCTTGGAACAGGTATTAACTTTGGATGTATGATGCACGAGGTCAGACACGTCGTGATAAATGAAAGTTCACCGCATGACACATACAGCTTTATTGCCGTTTATTTGCGCTTCAAAAAGTATCTTGTAAAACATTAACTTAAGCGAAGTTCTGAAAATTAATTAGATATATGCCGTCACTTCCCTTCCTTCGCTAATTTACGTGACGTGTTATGACCTAGTTCCGATTGCGCCTAGGGTTGTCACCTCTCACACGAATTGTCCTGCATATGTCCTAGTTTAGAAGATTTTGGACTTTAAAGCGATTTCATATTTTACTTATTAACTAATAACAGAACTCAGGCTTAAAAAATAATCAGTGGCCTAATTGTCTAAAAAAAATCACTTTGAATTTGACAGTTGAAAGAAATTCGCGAACCTCACTCTACAACAATTATTTTTAAGATTGTGAATGAACGATAACGTTCATTTGACGTAAATCGGAATTGTCTAAACAAATTGATAACTACAAATACCTTTGAAAGCTTTTGGGTATTGTCAAATGAAAGAGTTAAATACTACTTGTAATCTTTCGACAGTGTATGTATGTTTTTTTATGTTATATTATTTTTTATATTATATAATATAGAATTAAAACCAAATGACGCTCATAATTATTATTCTAGAAGTAACATAATCACTCGTTACAGTGGAAAAAAATACTAAGAAAAATTGCAAATCTCTCTCAGGTGATTATTACACGATGTAAATAAATTTCTCCAGTATTGGGTTACCGGTTTTTTATATATGGATTTACTCAGAGCTCTACATACAACAAATTTTTTAACAGCGACTATTAAATATCTCAAACTTAAAAAAAACGCAGAGTTTAAATTTTTTTTACAGATGATGCAGAGCTAATGACATGACGAGCTTAGGGATTCAACGTTACCGCCTAGATATCGACACTTTTACTCGATACCTGCTCGTATGTTGTTTTAATTGTTGTCGAATATATTTTAAATGCCTCACCTCGTCGTCATTTTTATAGATTTTAGAGTAAATTTGATTATATTGATAGCCAATAGCTATACTCTGTTCAATGAAGAAAGAGAAGCAAGTCTAGACATAAAAAGCGGTGCATATAGAAATTATTTAGTATGTATTTAGTTAGGTATTGCTGAAAAATTTTGTTGGCAGTGCCCCTTCTAGATAGATCTCTAACTGCATAAAATTAGTAGGGGTTAGTAATGTTTAGATACGATAGAGACGCATCACACAATTTTCTGACACTATTTAGTGAGTGACCGGCCATGTACCCGATACAGATACTTACTTATTTACTTCACGATACTACATTATACTCGGTTCTAAAGTATGAATGCCAAAAGTACTTGGTATCAAAAGAAAAGTATCAAGTACTTCTGTTTATTCATCCCTAGACGAGCTGACATAAATAAACGCGCTTCGTGCGTTTTGTTAGTACAATGGTTTTGTTTATGTTCTTTGTAGAAAAAAAAACGCTGAGTTTATCAAAAGTATGAAATGATTTAACTTTCTATTATTTTATTTAAATGAATAAAATATATTTATTCTTATTCGAAATAGGACAATTAATTACAAACATACACAACCGTAAAGATTATTTGACAACATAACAACAACAAAACGAAATTAATTATTTATAACATTTTACATCATTCAAATCATCATTCGATCCGAAAGCAATTGCGACTTAAAAAATACACAATTCCATAAATCTCTATCACAACGGCTATACGTTTGATAGTCGATTGTTATAGATTTAAAAAATAGACAATCAGACCTCTGATCGTAAGCTTTACCTATTAGTCTATATAATTTATTTATGCATTGACATTTGCTCTAGTTTCAGGATTTTATATACTAAATACAACCTACAACCCTAATTGGAACGCATGTTTACGACTGCGAGTGTTCTAAATGGTTATTTAATGTATTTTTAAATAGTCACAATATATATTTAAAAGTCAAAATTTAAGAAGATTTTATAAGAGTTCCAATTGCGGTTATTAAAAAAATGCTTTATGCTTTAAGAGATGTGCCGAATATTCGTTTGGTATTCGGTATCTTTTTCATTATTTGTATTCGGCCAAGCTGTTCGGTTTTGGTGCAGAATATATTCGGTTCGAGTATTTATATTTTCTAAATCATATCCTACCATGCTTTTTCGACCAACATGTGAAATTCTTATCCTAGAGTAGATAGGGCAATATTGGCCATCGATTGTGTTGTTTGTTATTCAGAGTCATTATTATTATATCAAGATTGTAACCACATCTGCAGTAGGTACATTGAAGAGGTCATTTGGAAATTCCATCTATTTATTGATGTGACGCAATCAAGTTTTGTATAACAACTTTAGGCACCAAAGCCACCGCGCTCGTGGGACGGGACCTTCGAGGCGACACACCGCGTCAAATGTCCACAGCCCGATGGCTCCGGCATCGAGGATTGTCTGGTCGTCAACGTTTTCACACCGGTACGGTCTACATCGCTAGCAGTGCTCGTGCTGGTTCACGGGGGAAACTTTCAGAGCGGGTAACGTGATCTGTTTTATGTTATTTATTATGTATGACTAACACAACAACGCTGTTAACTTCAATGATAAATTCACACAGCGCGCGACGGTTAGATTGTGTAACTCGTTATTTAAACCAGTAACGAAAATACTTTACAATTGTCAGGAGTTCTATCAACACTTCCACATAGTACCATACATAATACAAAATAGGCTGCTTAACTTTAATTTTCTGTCATATGACATTTTGGATATCTTATTACCGAGCGAAGCAGCCCATAAGGTGAAACATTGTCAAATAATTAATGAAAAGCAACCTAACACTGCCAACACTGCAGCGTGGGATGGATTTAATATATAATTTATCACCATCGTAAGACATCAAAGTAAAACTGTTTTCAGATCGGGTCCCACACGTCCACCTACGCAACTACTTAAGCAGGATTTTGTAGTAGTAACTTTCAATTACCGCATCTCTCTCTTCGGATTTTTATGTCTGGGTATACAAGAGGCGCCAGGCAACGCTGGATTGAAAGACCAAGTGGCGGCTCTGTACTGGATAAACAGGAACATAGCAAACTTTGGGGGCAACCCCTACGATGTCACTGTCTACGGCGTGGGAGGTGGCGCGGCTGCAGTACAGTTTCTTTTACTATCTGGATCGACAAAAGGTCTCATTCATAAAGCTATCCTTGAATCAGGATCTGCATTATCACCACTGTCAATGTCTTACGATCCTATATCAACTGCTATAGAAGTTGCTAAATCATTGGGTTTCGATGAGGCGATGTCCCGACTTGAGTTGTTTACTTTCTACAATCACTTGCCTTACAAAAAAATAATGAATATATCCAGTATGTTTCTCCCTTGTTTGGAAAAAAATCTGCCCACAACACACAGCCTTTTAGAAAAGAACCCTTTAGATATGTTGAAGACAACAGATTATGAGATGGTCCCAATGCTCGTTGCCTACACCGATGCTGCAGAAGAAATAATACCAAATGAAAAAGAACTGGAAGAGCTCCTCTACTTACCGGGAGGTTTCCGACACATCTTACCCAACAACTTAGAGTTTGACAGTGACGTCACCAAACAAAGAGTGGCTGATGTCGTAAAAAACTTTTATTTCAGTGAAGAGATATCAAAGGAAAATGTGTTAAAAAGTTATGTTAATTACATACACGACGTCGTGTATGAGTATCCCATTGTAAAGATGTCTATGATGTTTGCTGCTACAAATGCAATGCCAGTTTATCTAATGAAACTTATTGTCAAAGAATCAGAAAGTGACCTCGGAAATACAACAAAAAAGAAATTTGGCGTTCTTGACTTGTTTTACAATAATGAGGATTTAAATAAAGAAGACGAAATCAAATTGGCACAAGTGACCACTCTATGGAGCAATTTCATTAGAATAGGGTATGTAAATTATAAAGGACCATCATATCAAACGATAGTTCGACATTGTTTTATGTCTGGGAATACAATTACAATACAACTTATACAACTAATTCACTAGCTGTTTTCCCGCTAGGTGAAAAGTTTTAAAATCAGTCCAGTAGTTTCGGTGTCTATTCAATGCAAACCAACATAGATATTCCTGCTTTTTATAATATTAGTATAGACTAGCTTCACGCCGCAGGCTTAGCCCGCGTGATACCTAGGTAGCCGTTAAGTGACATAAATACTAGCCTATACGTTAATGTTTTAGTTATTTGTGAGAATGATTTTAATTATTTTGACAAAAAACAAAAATGATTATCAGATTTCGAAAAAAGAATATAGAACCATCTTATGCCAATGAATTCTCGAATAAAAGAATAATTTTGATAATCAGTCTACAATTGCCAGAAAATATACTTTAAGAATATATGCAACCAACAAAAAACCTTTTTGATTTTGAAATCCGTTATAAAGATTTCTCCAAATTGATTCGTAATGGCATCTAATTAACTAATGATCTTTGGTCAGTAGAGGTATATGTATTTAGTAGACTCACTGTGGCAGGAAGGAGATATGAAAATTAGATGACGAATTAGACGGTGGGGTGAAATATGGGTTGAAATTGACAGACCATTCTGTCAGTTTGGAGGTTACAAACAAAAATTTTATTTTTAATAAAAAATATAAAAAAAAAAAACCGAATTTGACAGGCAGACAACAGTGACCCTTTAAGGCTTCCGTTTTTACCATTTGCAGTACGGAAAAATATTGAATAGCAGTTCAGTAGAGACTGGCTTGTTGGTTAGTTACTCCAAGCTAAAATACATAATCAACAAACTTAGGATTATTATTGAATAATTAAGCAAGACATATTCAAATATGTATTCCATAATATTAATGCATTAAAATAATGCTACTGCAGAAGGTTTACAGTAGCTTAACTATAACAATGTGACACAACATAAATCATTACTTTTTACACTTGCTTACAGGGACCCAACACCAATAGCGACATTCCTCATTCCTGTAATTTGGCAGCCACTACAATTAACAAACACCAAAACAACACAGAATGAACCAGAGATTAACCTTGTCAAAGGACTGTATCTACATAAAACAATGATTATGAATTATCAGCTTGCTGATGAGAAAATTATCTTCTGGGAACATATTTATAGAAATTTTTACAAACCAAATATTGGGTTTATTAATGACAGCAACATACATTTATAATAAAAGAAGTAATTATTAAGTAAGGTCAATTATTATTGGATGTTTAAATAAATCAAATAGTTTTCAAACTATATATTTTATTCAATAATATGTAATTATTATAAAAGATTTAAAAGCAAATTCTATTTATATATACAAGTAGGATGAAGAGGAGAAGTGAGGGGTGGATGTCCATCTCAGAATTGTTAACTAACATAATATAAAGCTTGAAAAACAAAAATAGCCTATACACCAAATCTGTGTATAAATTTATGAAGATACCCATGGCAGCCAACTCTATGACTCATTAAAATATGCTCAAAAAGGGAAATTAAGACAAACCAAGTAATTTCACAAATTAAAATAAACTATCTAATGAATCATATCTCAAAAAGAAACATCAATTAGATGGTTTACAAGAAAAGTAATTTTATTTACAAAATTAATGTTTTAAAGTTTAGTAAGTGTACCTATATATATACAGGATTATATAAAAAAAAAACAAATAAACATTGCAGAAACCAAATGCATGTCAAAACATAGTTTAACGCGACAACCTAATCAATAGTTTCATAATAATTATGATCATGTAAGTATCTTATATTTTTAACTAAACATTAACTATAACTTTAAGTAGGCGACTCAGAGAATAAAATATTATTAATTTAGGTAATCAAATTTTATCACAATCAATCATCAGCGAATAGATGGACAGGCAATGACTTTTATATTATGCAGGTAAGATATGTATGTGTTGTGATTATTTATAAATAGTATCTAATAAGATACAACTATAAACTATATCCATGCGATCACAAACACAACGTGAATAATTGTTAAGATGATTACTATACAATCACGACACCACCTTTTAATGAACCTCATGTAAATAAAAAAATCAAGATATATGTGTAATGCAATGAAAGTGTTCCACTTACATGGAACGAATGGATATCATCATTTAATTTAAGGCGGATAACGTAAAAAATACCAACGTCGTCAAATATAAATAATACCGTTATGTACCTGATCAAACGGCGCTCCTAGCAGCAGGTGACCTATCTCAACAAGTAGTAGGCACTTCTCGAACTATAACATAGTTATTTCTGACACGATATCACAGAAGTTTACTTATTTAACACCAATTTCAATTGTAAAATCAACAAGTAAAATTAAAAAAAGACAAGACATAAAACACCGTCACATTCACTTTGCTTGCATGACATTCAGTGACATTTTCTTTAATAAAGGTTAAGAGATTTATTTCACACAGCCACGAGGAATTCTTTTTGAAGAATAACTTTTTTTTTTAAGTATTTTTGTTTTAGCTAAACCATGATCAAAAGCAAAAATGTCTCCTAAAACTTGTTTTTATGATTCCGTGTTAAACAAGACACCCTTATAGTTTCACTATGTCCGACTATCCGTCCGAAGTTTACCTCAAAAACTATTGGTACAAGAAAGTTGTAACTGGGCGTGAAGGCGACAAAGTGGTGATACTTATTTCGTCTTCCCATATTGGCGCATCATTGAAGGAGTCTTTAAAAAATTTTGGGGGTATGGGAAGGCCATTTTTCGAGTTAGTAAACTGTTAATAACATATTAAGCTTTAAAGAGCTAATTTTTGTTTGAGTCGTGACCTCCTACTACCAACTAAACGGTCGTTGGTAAAAATTCACACGTTACGTTATACCTATGTACCTACTAACGAAGTTAAAAAGAAAACAGTCACACTTAAGATTTCGAGTAATAGTCGAAAGATTGTATTTAACTCGAAGATTTCGAACAACTCCATAATAAACAACCAATGTGTTTTTTTTTTACTTTAACGGATAATGGTGATATGGTAAATAACTTCTTTACGGCAAAAAAATCAATACCCGAGTAGCAGTACAAAACGCCTTTGAGAAATTTGTTGGCTCCGGTCCAGTCCAGCTGATTTCTTGAAGAAGGTAATCAGTAAGCTTCCAATGCGTTAGCAAAGATGCATTGATTATATGGGTGATTACTTTGGTTTGGCTTTGGAAGTGATAATTTTTAATAGATATAATAAATATAGAAAACAATATGCTTTATTTAATTCATGAAAAATGGCAATTTCATAGCTAAATACCTAATTAAGATTATGTTTACAGAAAATTTATTTATAATACTTTAGACCTACCTTTGAATAAATAAGCTAATAAACAGACATAATAAAATATTGTAATAAAAAACTGATTTTTTTAATTGGAATTTTGATGATGTATTTCTTACAGTTTAATGACTTAAATCGCTACTCAAATATGTAATTCAACCAAACATCTTTTTTATAACATCAGAGTAATTTTTGTTAATTTTCTCTATGATGGGTCTCAGTGAGTTGGCCTTATTTAAAGCTGCTTTATCTGATGGGTCTAGCTTGAGAGCATGTTGTATATCTGTCCAGGCTTCCTCATAGAGCTGCAATCCTATATGAGCAGTACATCGTCTGTACAATGCTTTAGGGTTTTCTGGATCATACTGTAGAGCACGGTTACATAACTCTAGGGCTGGCTCATATTCATTGTACTGCAGCTGTAGATGAGCTAGATTATTGTATAATTTAACCTAAAAATAAACATTTATAATAAGAACTCTTTTGGTAAATTTTACAAAATAGTTTCTAAATAATATACCTATAACTAGCCACATAATTAATGTATGTTCAACTCAAATGATGATGATAAAACCATGCCTCAAAATTTATTACTTGACTAGCTTTCTGCCAATGGCTTCGCCCGCATGGTTCTTAGGGAACTATTTAGTGGGATAAAAAGTATCCTATTATCTAAATCAGTTAATACCCTATCTGTATACCAAATTTAATCAAAATCCATTCAGTAGTTTTGGCATGATTGACAGACAAACATCCAAACAAAGAAACTTTCACATTTTTAATATTAATAGGATGATGCAGTGACCATTGTGCCAATTTTACAAAAAATGAACTACAGCTTATGTTATTTGCTGAAGGTTTATTTTGTTATTTTAAAATTTGGTTTTCGAGTTTAACCATCACTAATCTTTGCTCTTTATTATACTAATATATAATGTAATGTAAACATCAGTTGGGTTCAATTGTTATCCATTATATACCTTCAAATCAATAATATCCTTTATGTTTTCTTCCTTAAGGACTTCAGGGTCTATAGGTTCAATTGCTATTAAGAATTTAAGAGCTTTGCTAAATCTCCTAAAGGCATCGGTGAGTCTTTTTTGTTTTACCAATAGTACACCGCATTCCTAAAAGCAAAACAACATGTCGGTCAAAATTCATTATCTCACTTGCCAGATTATAGCTAGATAATTACAGACAAATTATGAATAAACATAGTAACATCAAGAATAAATTCTTAGTTAGTTTGACATTATAAATTAACTAATGAATTGAGGTATTGTGATTGTCACAGATTACACAAATAGCACAAAGGGCTTCGGTAACTTCGTATATGAAATCTGAGCAATGTGATGTTGGTGACTAATAACCCTTACTTTGTGGTGTGTTGCAGATTCAAACAGTCTTTCCCAACTCCAGTCACTGACCAGTTGCTCTTCAGTAACTTCTTTCAACTCAATTCTACATGTGATCTCTTTCATCAGAGCTCCGTCATGATCTCTATACAGCAAACTAGCTTCACAGATCTCACCGCAGCACATTTGCTGTAAAATCAACTCAAAATCTTTATCAATATAGTAGTCAGTGTCTCCTATTAGCACATTTCCATCGAAGTCTTTACTAAATATTCTACTTTCTGTTTCTATTTCAGATTTGCCGACTGGGCTATTGCACGTCACATTTGACAAAACAATTTTACAGCGAGAATCTTCGTATGGTACTAACGTAAAGTCGCCCGGTGAGATAACTTTCTTTTTGAGATCTCTATCTGACCTTGAGCTGACGATTCCTTCTTTTTCCATTTTTTCGTATTTACTTTTGTTTGACAAGCGATAATCAGCAACAGCAACTTTTATCACATCACCAACAAATCACAACACAACCACAGATTAGAAACACAGATACACCAAAGAGAACAGTAATAATCACAGAACAAAAGTACTCTGTAATAATACGGAAAAGATACACTAACACAGAACAATATACTCTACGAAAACTAAACTATAAAACTATACAGAAAACAGATGCCTCATCCCATAGAATAAAATTCTATTTTATCTTATTTGAGTCCACGAATGTCAAAATAAACTGGATTGTGCAGTGTTATATTAAAAACGGGCAGAGTGAGAGAGTAAATTAGTAACTCTTCATCTCTGTCTTAGTAGTTTTGTAGGATGTCCACGCGTTTTTAATAATTTCATAAATAGGTAATATTTAATAATTTATTTATTTATTTCATATGGACAACCAACAGCATACATATTTCAACTTACTTCAGTAAATTACAGTTAGGTTTAAATCTAATATATATACCAATTCTAGGTTGACACAGCATTGTTAACATATAAGTGTAATTTTAGACAAAACCTACAATTCACTCAACCACTGATAAAAACACCAATAAGAAGGCTAAGGCACTCTCCGGTTCTCAGTGAAAAGTCAGATCAAAATACCCCACAGATCACAGGCTTTCAGAGAGCACGTCAAACCCAGTCCCTTACCCAACCCAATCTAGTCAATAGAACTAAAGAATTCCTGAATCTGAGCTTTAAAACTTAACAGCGAGTTGAAAAATATATCTAGATTAGGCAAATAAGAACCGACATCATTATATGCAGCAGAAATGCGAGGCAACGGTGAATGCCTAAAAACATTTGTCACATGATAATGTTACATGACCTAAATTAAACATTTACAGATAGAATTTTATAAATTTTTACAGATATTATGAATGATGATGTTAGAAATGTAACCGATAAATTAGTTTTTATTTATCGCTTTACCGATATTTATTTTGTAGGAAATAAAACAAGTACATAAATGGTATTATAATCATCTTTAATGTATAAATCAATTAAAAGGATAGAAACTTTTTTTTTATTAATTGTATTAGAATACAACGCATCATTTTATAACTTTGGCTGGTATTATTGTCCTCCATTTTTCAGCTAGACTTTTATCCTTTGGGATCCTAGAAACACAAGAGCAATTTAGTCATGGTCAGCATAAGAAAATTATTACTTTATAAATATTTATACAAACTAATGTGTAGGCCATTCAGATATTTTCCAAAACATAAATAAGCTAGTTCTCGTTTTTCATTTTCCAAATAACTTTGTACCTACCATGAAAATATTCAAGCTTCTTGAATTTATGATATTAATTTCGCAGTGCATGACTTATTAATAAACATTTTTACTGTAATGTTAAGCAAGTAAATTTTACAGAGATTAAAACGAAGAATGAAGGGTAGCGTAAGTAAAACTTATAAATGTTTACAATATAAACATATGAATATTAATTTAAATCAAAGTTTTGTTTCTTGATCGTAGACACCCTATTTCATCACTGTTTAATAAATAAGGAAAACAGCTTACCTATGGAATGTGAAGTCACAACCGTGATACCATTCATTTTCGCAATCAGCCAAGCAAAACAATATACCATTTTGATGTAAATAATCGAATTAGTAAGTCAAAACACAAATAAACATCAAACATTGTTTATGTTGTCACATCGAGCGGCCATATTAATTTATAATATTGCCACTTAAATGTAACGAAAAACTACTAACACGACATCGGTTAACATTATTATTTTAATTAATTCACATTTTTACTTAAAAAACATATCAACTATGTCTATTCAATATATTTACTATTAGATAATAATTAAAATTACCTAGTGATGTCTTTAAAAAAACCATAAAATCTCCTAATTGCCAATAATGATTATTTAATTTTCCAATGGCAACTTGTTAGACAAGGACCTACTACTACAAATCTAATATCTCTAGTAGACCGTTTTTCTACTCTGAAATGTGACATAGAAAAATAAGCCTTATTTTATAATTGATAAAGTGTAAGTTTGATTTTAAGAAATATGTCAGTACGCAATCCGGTTTAACTTGACATTCGTGTTTGAGTCAGCGTTAGATGCCGCCAGTGAGCAAGTAACACTCAATCTTCTCTATGAATGAGTAACACTTATGGATTTTCGCATAAACGTCAATAGATGGCGTTAATACTATAAAAGAGCGTATTGAAAATAACAAGTGCTTGAAAAATTCGTCATTCTTGTCAAGTCTCATGTAGTTGGTGTTTTATTTGGAAATCTTTCCATAAAACTACTTATTTAATATTTAGGTATACAATATATTGCGATGATTAACGACGCAGATATAGATTCAAACTGTCGACGAATTGACGCTGCCTACAACAGTTTCTTGTGTCTACTATTAAAGGTAAGTTTATTTTCTTTTATTTTTGTTTTAAAGTCAATCAATAAAAAATTAAACACCAAAAAATGCTTTTAATAAAAAAATAGCTATTTACAACGCCATCTCTGCATAGACATTTAATTATTTAAAGCATACTTTTGCTCTAAAATTATAACAACTTGTAATTTTATGGAAACTAGATTAAATAACCCTTTGTTTCATTTTTTCGAGCTTAGAATTTTTTCATTTAAGAAATATTACTGGTTATTTATATATTCTGTATTTGTATAAAATTTATTTAAAGGTTTATCTAATCACAATGCATATATTTTTACAAAATTCCGTGCTCTTTTCATTCGGTCCGAATTAATATATAGGCTGAAAGTAGAAAAGGTATTTTCTATATTGAATCGTGTCTGGGTGTTGTGATATCTGCGTTATCTCAGATATTCAATAATACAGTGGCTTTGGCTACCTACTCATCTTGGAATCTGAACAGTGTATGTGATTTTTTATAATATATGGATATAATGTGGCCTATTATAATGACCCAAATGTAATGTTGACATTAAAATAGCTTGTTCATTAGTTAATAAATAAAAATACTGTTTTCTTAATATTAATTATAACTCTTTTTAAAGAGTGCGGCAAACAACTTGTACACGATTTAATTTGAGGAGACGTCACAGGTAAATAGTGTCTATTTTTTTTACATAAAACCTTTTCTTCTGTTACACTACAGTAACATTTCTATATTAAACAGTAGCATTAATATTAATGAAGGTTATTGTAACCGATTACTTTTTGTACCGATTGTAGGATCGAAGACGCAACTGTTGAAAAGATTGAAACGATACGTAGTAAATCAAAAGTATTTTTAATTTATGTCAAAATTATTCAAAAATTGTTTTTGCTATTAAGCAGTACTTTTATTTTTAAATATGCTATATTTTTTATCAAATTACTTCATAATTTATGGGTGATTATGTATGTCTCGAGGTTTAAGTAAGAGTTCTCGGCACGTTTTACGATTCAACAGATGTAATCACACTTAGTAATACATAAAAATCAAGTAAAGCGGTGGTAACACAAATATTGAAGCGGTTTTGTGAACACGCGCGTCGCGGCCATAGACGGTTCTCGGTTGACTGTGCAATAAGGTTCAGTTTCGCTCAAAGTTATAGTTAAATTCCCGCGCTCGAGCGTTAGTGAGAGCGGTCGACGGCGGTAAAATATAGCCCGCGTAATTTTAAAAAGGAGTGCGTAGTTCTTTAAGCCAACCATCGCGTTTCAATAATATTTTTTTTCTATAACGTCAACTTCGTACAATGTTACATTCTATCTATCTTTTGAAGTGTCAAATGGGATATAATGACCTAACTGTAGGGTCAAACTGTGAGAAGGGCAAGAAAAGGTTTTTATGGCTAGTTTACCTTTTCAAAAAAGGCCACTAACTGGTGGGGGCTATGGCTATTGCCTGGCTACAAAGTCTGTTACTACTTGCAATGGGACCTGGGAGTACGTTAGAATTAGAAGAATGTTGCGTTTTGACTGACTGTATTAAACTAAACACATTATTTATAATAGGGTGGAGATGGTACACACTACATACTTCGTATTTACTTACACCCAAATGTCACCTTCCTTCGGTACGCTCATACGATATCTCACTCGACCCGAGAAACATGACAAAGCGTAGTGTGGACAAAGTATTCTTTGATCTTGCCATTCTATGTGTGTTACTTTTAAAGAAAGTCGTTCAGACATGCTATTGATCACAATAGGAAAACGTCTTATTGCCAATGTAAAATTACGTACAAACTTATAATAATCAAAATGAGGAAGTATTAAAAAAAACGAAAGCACTAAAAAAGCACCTTCACTAGATGGCGACTCTAGCAAAAGTCGATTTTTGCAGGAAACGAATGGACCGAAGACAGTTATTTCCTTGCCTTTTAACTAACATATTAAAAAATGAAATTTGAAAAGTTCGAAACTCAGATAACAATACAAATACGAAAAATTACAATAAGAATATGAGTTGTTTATTGAGTTTTGAAAAATAATTTACTATTAAACATGAAAGATAACCGGATGGGTTGTCATGGAGAAATCAAGAACGTACCATAGCGACATCTAGTTTGATATCGCGAACATATTTTAAAATACTTCCTCATTACTACAAATTTCAAATAAAAAAATTCTGGGTTACAAATGTTACTAATGTAGGTAATATGACATCACATGTGAAGATGTTATTGGTTGTTAAAATTTACGACTGATACACGTTTACTCTTAGGATTTTAATGAATATTAGGTTTCGATATGTTTTTTTTTCGATATCGATATTTTTGTGCGTCGATATATCAATTTATATCAGTTTTCGCGTATTGGATGCTTATTTCATTCTTAGTATTTAGACGTATAAGCCAAAACCTATACTAGTAACTATGTCTTAACGTATTATTGGAGCACGTCTCGCGCGGGTTTTAGACGTAAAGATATGACATGTGAACAGCTGATTCTGACAATTGACTAAATACAAAATTGGCAAAACAAAAAATTGAAATTATTGTTTTGTTCTAAACTTCTAACCGAAACTATATACATTTATATCACACATATTAATTTATCATTTAGTAATGGCACGCTGTCCATACTAACGTAAAGGTCACGTACATCGTATTACATACATTTATTTATATTTTGTTTACACTTAAATAATTTATGAAGAAATAGATAACCTAGCCAAAGGGTAGGTACCCAATTCAGGATATAATTTTTGTCACAGACAGGCTTCATACAGGATTTCAAAAAAGAGAAATAATAAAGTAAACTGTATCTTCGTATTATATTTGACCAATTATACATTTACGAAGCTATACTGGAAAATATTTTTAATGAAAAATAATTAATAATCCAACAGTGCTAGGAACAAAGTGGATTTTTTAAGCATTTTTCATTAAGAATATATATTTGTAGTACGATTTCTATTACTATAATGCTAAACTTTGATTGATTATTAATATGCTGGTCTTGTGTTTCAGAAGATGACTTTGTTACTGAAAAGTGTGTGGCAGAATGTTCTTAAGAGCAGCCCTCTCAATCTATCTGCATGTCGGAGATCCCACAACCTGTCAGCTACATGTGAGACATTTGAATACAGAATTTTTATCATGATAGAATTTGTTAACTTTGACTAATTTTGACTATTCCTGCATCAGAAGACCCTAAATATTTGTGTTATGGCGATGGTTGGTTGTCAATGATTGTGCTATTTGCAACATTTTCTAGAAATCCTATTGACTTATTGCAACTGAGTCAATAGGCTAATACACAGCAAAGGTTCATATTAATAACTTCTGTGGATACTAACAATTTATTTTTTTCTGTCAGGTTATTGTTGTCTCTGATTTCAATGAACTTTTAACACTTTCATACCTTTTCTTTAAACCCTTGTTATAAATAATAATAATAGATGATTATAATAATATTACTAGTAACTGTAACTGACAAAGTTAAGATACAACATTTAACATGTTTGCCCGAGTATAGAGAATGAAAAAACAATAAATGAAAATGAATCTAATATATTTCAATACCAGAAAATATGATTTAAATACATATTATTTATATTTATAGTCAAAAGTATAGTCAACAGCATGTAAGATTATATAATATTTATTTTTAATTATTTCTCCTCACAATAACTTACACAAAAACTTTTATAAGTTGGTCAAATATCTGTACTTGACTTTAAATCTTAAGTCATTAGGATTAAAGTTGAAAATCAGTTGTGAAAATTTGGGATGGGCAAAAACTGGTTGCTGCGTGTACAAAACTTGCCTACATCAATCTTTAATTTATTGTAGATACTAATGAATATAAAAAAAAATATAGCAATTATTGTGTATCATACTTCTAATAGTCAGTCAATAGTTTTAATAATTAATTTTTGTTTATAAATGAAAATAAGTAGGTAAGTCAACCTGAGAATTAGTACGATAAGATAAAGATAAAAACACTTTATTGTACAACACACAACAGAAATAAATAAAGAGTAACTTACAAACATTAAAATATTTGCACAATAGGCAGCCTTATCGCTTAACAGCGATTTCTTCCAGGCAACCTATACTCGAAGAAGCAATGGTAACAATAATGTAGGTAAGCTGTGCGCGTTACAAATAAATTTAATAATATTAATAGAAATATAAATATGATAATAAAGTTACATAAAATAAACAAACAATACAATGCTTAAAATAACAAGAAGGCAACATTTCAAATAGATTTCTGTTCACCCAACAAAAAGAACTTTGCAGCTAGAGATTTGAAAGACTCCAGCGTTATGGCGCGTCTTACATTCTCAGGTAAGGAATTCCATAAATGGATAGCTTGCAGGGTAAAAGATGAACGAAGGGGAAGATTGTGAGTAGAGGAAAGAAATTTAAAATGCTCCTTGAGATATCTGGGTGACAATGGATTGAACAGCACAGAAAAGAGGAGGGATGATATGTGTAGGTCTCTGCGTCGGCGAATGGTAAGCCCATTCAACCTTTGACGATAGTGAGAGACATGGTCATATTTACGCAGTCCGAATATGAACCTTATGGCGAAATTTTGGAGACGTTCTAGCTTATTGAGAAGCTCAACTGTAAGGTCTGGATAGCACTCATCTGCATAATCAAGTAAAGGTAGAAGTAGGGATTGTGCAAGAGTAATTTTGGTGGCAGTAGGTAAGAAGTGACGTAAGCGCCGCAGCGCTCCAGCTGAAGCAAACATTCGTCTACTGATTTCTCCAACTTGTGGTCTCCAGGATAAAGATTTGTCAAATAAAAGTCCTAGGTTTTTCACCGTATCTGTAATTGGAACCACTGTCCCCTCCAAAGTAGTTTTCTACAACTGCCCGAAATCAATCCTGGACACAAAGTAAGGGCTGCCAATTATTATACACTGAGTCTTCTTAGGATTAACATTCAAACCAAATGACGAACTCCAGTTCACAATACGATTTAAATCAATATTGATCTTGCGGATAGCATCATTCAAGTTATCAAATCGCTCTTGCGTATAAATTTGAAGATCATCAGCATAAAAGTGGTAGGTGGAAGTTAGATTATGAGTAATAGAATTAATAAAAATGGCGAATAATAAGGGAGAAAGCACGCCGCCCTGAGGAACACCAGTAGGCATAGAACTCCACTCAGAGGAGTCTCCTATACGTCCACGTTGCCGGCGTCCGTGTAGATAACTACGAAACCAGTCAATAACAGTTGGAGATATGTTAAGGGAACTCATCAAGCTTAACAGTATGTCAAAATCAACATTATTAAAAGCGTTACTAAAATCAAGTAATGTTAATATTGTAAGCTTGCGCTTCTCCATACCAGAGCGAATGTCGTCGCCGATTTTAACTAAGGCACTCGCTGTACTATGACCGGGACGAAAACCGGATTGGAAAGGATTTAATAGGTTATTTTTATTTAGAAAGACACTTAATTATCTGTTAATTAGACGCTCTAGGACCTTGGACAGGAAAGGAAGTATGGAAATAGGTCGGAAATCAGACATCGTAACTGGATTGGATTTTTTAGGGAGAGGAATTATCTGAGCTGTCTTCCATATACTTGGAAAAGTACTAGAAGCAATGGATTTGTTGAGGATTATTGTTATAATAGGCGTTAGGATGTCAAGCAAAGGAAGAATCATGTTACGGCCAATATTGTCGTTATCAAGTGCTTTAGAGTCTATGGAACGAATGGTTTCCTTCACAATAAAATAGTAGTAATTAAATAAAACAATGCAGATGTGGCTGACTGGCTCACATGAAAATGTCGCCATTTCACAGGTCTGACTAAATGTTTTGGAGCCTTGATAGTTTTAGAAATTTAGATTATAAAAAAATAGAACTTTAAAAAAGTGAAGTGAAGTATTACTTAAACTTATCTCAAAAACGACTTAACCAAGGAAATGCTATTTAAGTCGGGCAGAGGTTTTCTGTAGGTTGTTAATTAATTTATAGACAGTCGCTTTTAAGCTAAGTATTATTTTACAATTTTTATAAGCTTGAATTCGGTTCTATTTTTGTAAGGTTTTTTATGTCATGCTATTTTAGTGATATTGATATTTTTTATAGTAGGTAAGACTAAAAATACTTTTCTGAAAACATAACATGGTTTTGACACAAACCATGTTAATGTGCGAAATTCAATGTTTTAGTGTGTTAATATACCTAAAATCTCCTAAGACTGACAAATACTATGCTAAAAACTTAAATGGGACCACAAATTTGGGCTTTTAAATAAAAAAAGAAAAGAATCAATAGAACCAATTCACCCTGTAAAAAGTTTTGAGGTAACAAACAGTACACAAACTTAATGCAAATTTGAGACTTATATGCTCATAGATGCCATTACCAGATCTGGACTAAATTGAAATGGAAGCACACTAGCACTAGCTTTCAAATAAAAAAAGAATCAACAAAATCCCTCTTTACCAATGTACTTCAAACTTTAATTCGCAATTTTTGATGTTTATATATCATTTATTATTAATCCGAGAAGGTTATCAATTGTTAATGTACAGACATTATTTTAATATGCACATTTACATAAAATTCCTGATTGATTATGTAGTAGTCAGTCGGGCGGACGTGATGCGCACGAAGTCACCAGACGCGGTGATGGCGAGTCTGAAGGCTGCGGGGGGCGCAGGGGAGGTCCTGGACGCGGTGCAATCGCACCTCCCCCTCATGACACACAAACACATGATGCAGGCGCTGCGTTGCTTGTTTGAGCTACAGAAAGCTGGCAAGTGAGTGTCAGGAAAACCAAGTGTTGAACGGCACCATGCATGCCTAGATGATAGCTATATTGTATTTTACTGGATCCAAAATAGAATTTGTGGTCTGATACAATTCTCTTTTTTACGCTTATTATTTCTTAACAACTCTTTTCGCTCACAGGGTAGACCGCAACCCCGAAACGATAACCAAGAACCCAGCATTCGGTGTTCTCTGCCAGAACTTCAAAAAGCACGCTCGTTCCCTTGAAGTAGGCGAAACCATCGAGGCCACGAAGGTCCTATCCTACCTGCAGGTCCCCGCAGACTCGCTAATAGTACAAACCATGCTGCAGCTCATAAGACACAACATCAACTCCTTGAACATTCGGCAAATTATGTTTCTAGACTTTATTCTTAGCCGTTACGACAGCAAGAACCACTTGATCGACGCCCTGAAACTGGCGTTACCTCTTGCGTTTCAGATCCGTCTACCGTTAGAATTAGATAACGAAGATCTGCCGTTGCTTAGGGATATGCTAGCTTACAGCTGTAACACAGATTTGCCTGAAAGATGTATCAACAATATAGTTACAGGACTCTTGTTGCACGATCAGACTATTGATGCTCAAAATGCGAAGTCGATTATATGGTCATTGTGCCAAGTTAATTGTACAGATGAAGTTTTTCCTACTAGGGTACAGTTACTGCATATTTGTTTTGAGATTCTTACGCAACGGATTAACGAGTTGTCTTACGATGAGCTACTTCGAACTGCTGCCAAAATCAAGGGTCGGATCCTTGAAAAGCATCCAGAGTTTTACAATGAACAGCTGATGGATGCTGTCGCTAACTATGTTGTGGAGAATAAGATCGAGTTCGAGAAGGGGCTGCTGGTTGCTAGGATACTCTCGCGTATCGTGAGTTATTTTTAATTTTCTTTTTCATATATTATTCACTAGCTTTCGCCAGCGGCTTCGCCCGCACGGACCCTAGGGAAATGTTTAGTGGGATAAAAAGTATCCTATTATTTAAGTCAGCTAATACCCGATCTGTATACCAAATTTCATCAAAATCCGTTCAGTAGTTTCGGCGTGATTGACGGAAAAACATCCAAATATCTAAACATCCAAACAAAGAAACTTTCACATTTATAATATTAATAGGATATTCGACAAGTATCTAATCAATGTTAGCGACTTTTAAAGGACTCATGATAGCAATAAATAATCAAATACATCGTATTGTGAAACTTCAACTTAAAAGACATGTAGTCTCCTCTATTACTTGCAAGATATAGATCGATGCAATACAACTCTGTTTTAAGCATACTGTTGTTAGGACTATAATCTGTATCAAATTTAAAGTACGTACTATTTCTAATATGATTATCATTGCAGGCGCACACCCATCTCGGCCTAGTGGAGTATCTTTGTGAGAAAGCAGCCGCCTGCCCCACGACTCTCTCTAACGCTAGACCGAACATCCTATTCAGCTTCGTGAACTGTCTATCAAACAACAATTACACACCGAGCCCAGAAGCTTGGAGCGAACTAAGGAAACAGATATCTTTGAACCCGGTGCTGAATTCGACGAACTCTACCCTACCTTGGCCTAAGTTTTGCTTAGAACTGGCATCTCTTAACCATTATGAAGACAAAGTGTTGAACAGAGTATTCTCCAAAGAGTTTTTAGAAGAGCACTTGTCTAGGAACAATAATAATTTAGATTATTTACAACTGTTGACGTTACACGAGGCGGTGAAGTGTTTCCATACAAAAGAGTACTCGCTGCCCCCGGAGACGTTAGCGGTGGCTAAAACCAAGTACCCGACGCACAGCTCGACGGATCAACTCCTACAGTATCTGGCGACGGCTCTGGGCGGTAAAGAATACATTGCCAAGAACGTCCTGTTGCCAAACGGGATTATCGCTGGTAATTATACGATTGTGATGAGTGAAATATTATTACTAATCTTCAGAATTATATTATATTATTATTTTCAGCTTACTTTGACCTTAGTGTTAATGAAGCTTCTTTTAGCAATTAAGATTAGGTCCATTGTTAGGTCAACGAATGATTTAATATCCAGCTTCAATTCCTACATTTTAATATAATGCAAAAGCTTAGATCTTAAAAGTTTCTACCTTTTCTACCTAGGCAGTGATATTAATACATCATACGAGTATTTTTACTATAATATTTCACTTTCAGACATCGTGATATGCCTTAAAGGAGGCTACCCTATCTCGCTGACAGTACCCGAGGATCTGGAGAGGGTACCATATGAACAACTTAATATTCCACAGAGTTGTGTCACGTGAGTATATCTACTCGTCTCCCACTAGCTATTCGGCCGTGTAAATTGTATGATGAAGCTTTCCATAGCTGAAAGAATTCTCATGTTCGAATTAATATTTCCGAACATTACTGTGGAGAAAACGGCGACCTATAATTTTATAAATTTGCCATTTACCTGTGACGGGAATCTCGGAAACGTGACGTAGGTGATTTTGTTATTTTTAGTTCCAAACGGAACATACTAAAGAACATAACTCACCGGGTGGGCGATCTGGCGTGCGAGTATTGATTCGGCTACAGCGGTCCTCGTTTCCCCAGGGTGTGCGTGATGAACTTCAACCAGGGGTGCTTCTCTATGAACAGCAACCGTTTACGAGGCACGTTCCGGCTGTTGCTCGACGTGTTGGAGAAGCAGGGTCTGGTGGCGGTGCCGCTGAACTCGGCCGAGTGGGCGGCCGCGCCCGCGCACGAGCGGTCGCCGCTCCTGCTGCGGGAGGTCGCGCACAAGGCGGCCGAGATCGGCGTCAAGCTCGCCGCCACGTGACCGCCACGTACCCGCCACGTACACCCCACCACCCCACCTGCACTCCTGTGACTGACGTTACTAGTGTCCCGCGCCGTTTGATACCTATTTGTACAAAAATGGAAAGTAAACATTAGACGTGAAATAAATTTGAAAAGTCTCTTCCGATGTGTTCAAAACTGGCGAACATGCCAGCGGAGTTACTTGTTGTATTTGATTATTTTAATAAATTATTTATCGAACAATTTGGCAATTTTTGGTGTTTCAAACTGTATGTCCGTTAGTTATCTAGTCCATGTTAGTAGATAAGGAGGAGGTCGTTTGCCTAGTCCATGTTGGGTAAGGGCGGATGGGACATGATAACTTATTATTATTAAATAATGTATTAAAATTTATTATCCTGGCTTTATTTCGTTATCCTTACGTCAATTCAACTTATTCAATGCAAGTCCCAGGTCATAGAGATGTTATAAATAAATTGTGTACAAGTGACGCATTGTAAGGGCACAGCAATACTGAAGGGCAACTTTTGCTATATTTACTTATAAATATTATTGATCTAATTAATTATTATTAATACATTTAGTAGCTATTTTATTTATATACCTAATATAAAAAACCCATAAACTTTAAAAATACATTAACAATACATCTTTTCATTTAGTATTTTGTTTTATCTACTTACGAACTTTAAACTCGATTAATATATTTACAGTAGCTTATTTCAAAGTTAACTAATTTATCTATAAAAAAACTAGCTTTTGCCCGCGACTTCGTCCGCGTGATATAGTTACTTTGGGCATCATATTTTCCAAAACCGCTGTTGTTTTTGAGCTGATGATGAAATTATCTTGATGTTTAAGTTCGAAGATAGTACAACAAAATACCAACGAATGTCCAATATGTTTCAGCACTTTATCTTTGAAACTTTATAGATATTATTCCAATTCAATGCAATTTGAAATAAAGATGAAAAAAAAAACAGTTCTGAAGTTTACACAAAACTTAATCTACGCAAAATTCTTTGAAAGAAACGTTACCGCAGATTATCTATCTATAATATATAAAGCTCAATTACCACTCACTGACTCACTGACTCACTCCATGCTTTTTTCGGGTAGAAGGAGGGGGAAAATGACATTTTCATGTATGGAGACTGATAATATTTTTTTAAAATGAGTTGAAATGGAATATCGGTACAGCCAAAAAACAAAATGGCGGCGAGATAATTTTTTTAATTTCTACATTATACACTCTACGATTACGATATTCAAAATGGTCGTAGATTTGGCTAAAAAAATGATACTGCAAAAAGGTTTGATTAAAAAAACAAAATGGCGGCCGAGATATTTTACCTAGAAAATTGACATTTTTCGACCTCTGTTCGGGCAATCGTCAATTGTTTTTTTGTGAGTGCGGAGGGGGGATTTTTGCTTCTTCAGCTCGGAAGTATAGTCAATTTTCACGTAGGGGGAGTTTTCATTTGCGCGTCAACATGGCGGCGGCGGGGGCGGCCATTTTGTTTCGGCAATGAAAAATTGCCATTTTCCAGTGAGATTTTCTCCAAGATGGCGGCGTCGGACGGATTCGCGTTCTATGGGCCGGTCGTGGGGCTCGGTGGGATCTTTCTACATCACTACCGATTTCTACCATTTTCGTGGTAGTTTAGGAGATTTTGGGAGAAAAGTGAAATTTCGAAATACGCACTTTTCGCGGAAAACAGACTCGATGCGGTGTGGCGCCGGGGGCACCCTATGACTTTTGGTAGTTTTCGATTCTGTGAGCTGACAACCCTGGGCTCCACGGTAGAAAATATTTTTTTCGACATGCCCTCATAACCCGAATTGTTTGGGAACCTGGGTGGCCAGCGGAGAAAATCTGTGAATGAAGCGCTGCGCCAAATATAGTCGTGACTATGGGAAAATTATGAAACTCGGGAAAATCAATATGGTGGCGCCGGCAGCGGCCATTTTGTGATTTTTTCACTTTTTCGAAAAATACAAACGCACTTTTAGTCTACATGGCAACATCGGAGCTCTTCGCCTGGTATCGAGTGGTCATGAGTCTCCGCGGGCTCTTTCAAATGTCATGAAATTTTTCCCCGATTTCAGGGTAATTTCGGAGATTTACCCCAAAAAGGTGAAAAGTAGAAGGAGCCGTTTGGGAATTTCAAAAATGCTTTTCCTCGACGGAAGGCACTCCCCGAAATGACATTTGACCATTTTCATCACCGTCACCTGGCAACCCTGGTGTTTGCGGCGATTTGAAAAATTTCACCCATTTTTTACTTTGTCGACTCTAGTGCAGTCGGTATTGCCATTAGGAAAATGGTAAAAAGTGCATCGAATGCGCTATCGAGTTGGCCACACCGGTACGGAGCCGGATTTTCAAAATTCAAGATGGCAGCCAAACCAGCGGCCATTTTATCCGAAAAATTGGGTACCGTCACTACGTCGAGCCGATTTTGACGCACTTCGCGACATTTGTCAGACTACTTCCGGGGAAACAATTTTTAGGCAAGTAGATAAAGTATTGCCGAGTGAAAAAAAAACTTGAAAACTTATGATACTTTATGAGATTTTTGAGGAAACACTTTTTGTCGAATTTTGAATTTTTTTCGATGCAAATATTTTAATTTTAACTTTTCAAGATACCCGATGGAAAAAATAGACCGATCGACTGGCAACACTGAGAGCAAACAACGTTTGAAATTCAACCTCGATTTTGACCGACTTGGCAAACCCGCAGGTGTTTGGCTTGTATGGGGCAATTATGTGTCTCTTCAAACTCATTCATATGAAGAAAAAATTTTACCCGATTTTAGGGTATTTTTTGAGATTTACCCCAAAAACTGTAACTGTCAAAGGAACAATTTTAGAACTCGAAAATTGGCATCCGTCGATGGAGGGCACATCCCAAAACGACATTTGACTATTTTTATCGCCTACATCTGGCAACACCGGCAGCTACGGCTGTTTGAAAGTTCAATGCCCACTATTCACGTTTTGGACTCTAGCGCAGTCATTATCGCCGCTAGGAAAATAAAAGAAACTGCGTTGGATGCGCCAATAGATGGGCTACATTGGTCTGAGGTTGAAATTTCAAAATTCAAGATGGCGGCTTAAACAGCGACCATTTTATCAGGAAAATTGAACATTTTTCATGACTTTCACTTTACAGAGTTGATTTTGGCGTCCTTGGTAACATTTTTAAGAATACTTTTAACAAAAATATGTATTCAGTTGAAGTGTTGTCAGATGAAAAAAAACTGTAAATTTTTTGATACCGAGATTTTTGAGAAACTTTCATGTATGTCATTGATGAAAAAAGTTTTAATACGAAAATGTTATAGGTTTATTATATTGACATATGGGTTAGGTTTGGTTAGTGTATGAAAGACAACGCACGAGCCGAGCGAGCGCAGCGAGCGTGCCGCGGCAGCGGCCGGCGAAGTGCCAGAAAAGAATCGCTTTTGTTGATCGTAATATTTGGTTTATAATGTTTAAAAGATGATCGTGTAAGGCTGAACATATTTTTCTATACTTTTAGATTATTGAGAAACATGTTCTTTTGATATTCAAAATAAAGGTGTTCTACATATGTATGAGTTTGAAATTTGACATTTATTTATTTGGTGTATTATTTAAGGTAACACGGGGGGAAATATCTACTTGATCCTTTTTCATACTAATTATAAACTTACTGTTGAATAAGAATAAGAGACTTTAATTTATTTAGAGTTTTGCTTGCATTTTTCGACTGAATATTTATTTTTCTATTGCGTGTATATTATCAACCCTTTTTCTTTGATGTATGGTGCTTAAACAACTTTCATTTAAAGACAGAACTTATTAACTTTTTGTTGGCGATTTCAAACTTTAAAACAAACATATCAAAAAATATCGAAAATCTCAAATTCTGCAACGGAGGCGGACTTAAAACCCCACCGCCCCGATTCCACTAGCTACTCGTGACCTCCCCGGGCTGCGAGCAGCCCGGGGCAACCAAGCGAAAGCTTCTATTCTGAAACGAAGGCGGAGTGAAAACCCCATCGCGTCGTGAATTGATCTATTCTAATATCTGGCCACGACATCGGTTCCCTTTTCATATAATAAATAAATCTTACATAAATAATGTAATGTAATAATGCAAATACAATAAATACTATTTCTTGACATTTAATTAATTAATTAATGATAGTAACACTGATGGAAATATATGTTCGATTGTTTTTTAATATTATACAGTAATTTACACTTATTTTTTAAAAACTTATTTTAAGTATCTATACAAAATTTATTTTAAGTTTTGCTTGCGTTTTTCGACTTAATATTTCTTTTTCTATTAAGTGTCAACAGGCAACACTTTTTCTTTGATGTATGGTGCTTTGTGTCCTTTAACACCTTTTATTTGAAGATAGAACTTACTGACTTTTTCTACGCAATTTCAAACTGTAAACCCGACATGACAATAAGCGGACTTGAAACCCCACCGCCCCGATACCACCAGCTACTCGTGACCTCCCCGGGCTATAATATATAAAGCTTAATTACCACTGACTGACTCACTCACTGACTCACTCCATGCTTTTTTCGGGTAGAAAGAGGGGGAAAATGATATTTTCATGTATGGAGAGTGACAATATATTTTTTTAATGAGTTGAAATGGCATTGGGGTTCAGCCAAAAAACAAAATGGCGGCGAAATATTTTTTTTAGTTTCTACATTGTTCACTCTACGGTAACGATATTCAAAATGGTCGTAGATTTGGCTAAAAAAATGAGACTGAAAAAGGGTTTGATTAAAAAAACAAAATGGCGGTCGAGATATTTCACCTGGAAAATGTGCATTTTTCGACCTCTGTTCGAGCAATCGTCAATTCTTTTTTTGTGAGTTCGGAGGAGGGATTTTTACGCTGGCGACTCGGAAATATAGTCGATTTTCACGTATGGGGAGTTTTCGCTTGCGTGTCAATATGGCGGCGGCGGGGGCGGCCATTTTGTTTCGGCAATGAAAAATCGC